ATATACACACACACACACACACACACACATATATATATATACACACACACACACACACACACACACACACACACACACACACATATATACACACACACATACATACACACAAAAATGTCCATAAAATCATATTTCCATATTGCAAAAACTATTTAAAATGCATAATTATCAATACAGTACTTAGTTTTTGTTATATAAAAAATGTACACATGCTACCAGACACACAAAAAAAACCTTACAACATTCTATCTTCCTAAAAGCAGCATCACCCTCTAGTGGACAAAGTGGCTATATGCACATTGTAATATTATGAGGTACTGTACAAAAAAAGGGAAAAAATATAGTTATCTGTCTACCAAAATTTCTTTATGTCTCTTAAATTTTTGCTTAAAAAAAAAAAAAAAGTGTTTTTTAAAAAAAATAAAATAATAATTTCTATAAATTCACTTTGAAAAAAAAGTCTTTGTATTTTACATTAATTTTTATGTTGCTGGACTCTAAAGTCATAGAAGCATATTGTAAAATATCCATTCTGTCCGTTTACTATTCTGCTCTCAGATTGAAACAGGGACAAATGAATTCTATAGCTTGCAGCGTTGTCCTAAGATTTCAAGGAGGTTCCCCCTCCAAATGCAGTTTGCTTCAATAAAAAAATAATGACATGTTTTAATTGTATAAATGGAATGGCAATAACCGAGAATAAATAAATACACAATGATTTGACTGCTCATCAATATTCACTTCCTTAGGTTCGTAATGCAGCTCTGGACTTGTCAAGTATGTCTTTTCTTATTTTAGGATAACTTGGGTGGAGTTCTAAAACCTGTTCAATAAAAAAAAAAATGCAGTTAGTGAACAGATATTAAGTGAAAAATTAATAAATAGATCATATTTAGGTTTATGATAGATATATATATATATATATATATATGTATCCAATTACAGAATCAAATATAGATATATAACACACATAATGTAAAATAAAAGCTACATCTTCAATAAGGAGAGGCATGAATAGGCACAATTTGCTTTAGTTTGCACAATCTATTGTTAGTAATCTAGTAAATATATAACTGTCTGCCATAGGCAAGAATACTAAATTGTTACTTTAAGCCGTTTTAAAAAACATTTTCTTTTTCTTTAATTTAAAATGGAGGTTATTTAGTTACTCCAATGGCCATTGGAGGGAATGCCCGCCTGCCAACGTCAAGGCAGACCCCCCACCCCCCAGGCGGGTCCTACACTGACCTTTCACTCAATGGCCATTAGAGTAACTAAATGACCTCCATTTGTTTAAATATACATAGGGATTTAGGAGAGAGCACAGGTAACTTTTTCTTAGTTTTTTACTGTATGTATCGGGGCCGATGTGTACTGTGGTCGTTGCCGCCACCTAGGAGTGATGGGAGTGAGCGCAAGACTTATCTTTTTTTAATTTAAAATGCCCTATTTGGCTCACCTCACTTATTTCCTTGCCCTGTCCGACTTCACTGCATTTGATTGGACCGTTCTCACTGGCTCAGTGCTCAGGAGAGCTCATGTACCCCAGGTAAGAAGTCAAACTTTACTAAAATGTTTTGACACTTTACAATGGGGGGGAGGGGGAAGAACCTGGCACCATAATCAGTGTTCTGTAGTAGTTATGGTACTCAGAGTGTTCCTTGAAATGGGACATTCCATTTTGATACATGATCTTTAAAGCTGTGTTGTTATGATGTATCTTTGTATATCGGTCTAACTAAACTCCAGGTATTATTAGCCATGCATGAAATTTTTATCACTGTATATTGCCACACTACAGATATAATAATGAAAGCCACACTCTCAACTAACTTCTTTGCCCCATGCAGTGTACAGTGCGGATAAATTGAACAGATTACATCATCCTCTGTTCACTACGGGGATTGAAAACACAGTCTGCACACTGAAAAGATTGTTTTCCCTTACATTTATTGTTTGGTGGTGTACAGTTATTTGACATGAGACAAGAATCATAAATTATTTTAGTAAAATAAAGTATGAGTGACACATCGCCACATCCAGCACATTCAGTTCTAACTTTTTTGGATTTCTGTGTTTAAAAGAATAAGCCTAACATTATACATGTCTATCAAAAGAAATAGTCACCAATGTTCTTTTACATAATATATAATCATTATAATTCTGTGATTTCAGTGCGAACATGAGTCATTTGTTGTAAAGTGCAGTGTGGTTTGAGTGGCTGCTGTCATCCAATTGACTCAACTTGAATTATTGTAACTAGCGTAAAAAAAAAAATCCATTACAATTAGTCATAAAATGGTAATTTTTGCTCACTATGGAGGAGGGGATTGTACCAGTCTGCTGAATGAAAACATGGAGAAGTTCTAGAATGCTTGGTTGTGAAATAAAATCCAATATAAACCTCAGTGTTTCTTTTTAAGATAGGAAATGTTTGAAATATATGTGCCAATATGTTTTTCTTTTCTTTTGCTATCACAATCTCTGAAAGTTGTTAAATAAACTCGGAAGAGTGAAGGGAATTTCACAATTAAAGGGACACTCCAGGCACCCAGACCACTTCTGCCCATTAGAGTGGTCTGGGTGCCAACTCCCACTACCCTTAACCCTGCAACTGTAAATATTGCAGTTTTCATAAACTGCAATATTTACCTTGCAGGGTTAACTTCTCCTCTAGTGGCTGTCTACTAGACAGCTACTAGAGGGCACTTCCGGGTTTATAGCACAGATTTTCTGTGCTGTAGCGTCTCTCACGCTATGTAAGGACCTCAAGCGTCGCTGAAATCCCCATAGGAAAGCTTTGAAAGCATTTTCAATGCTTTCCTATGGGGAAGTCTAATGAGTGTGCGCGGCATTGCGCATTAGGTCTCCCCCGTCGCCGGCCGCGCATGCGAAATAGGTCTCCCCTGCCGGATGATGTCCGTCAGCGCTGGATACAGGTAAGTCACTGAAGGGATTTTAACCCCTTCAGCAACCTGGGATGGGGGGTGGGAGAGAGAGGGGACCTGCAGTGCCAGGAAAATGGTTTGTTTTCCTGGCACTGGAGAGTCCCTTTAAGGTTGAAATAGCTGGTTCAGGTTGAGACAAAGAACTCATGGTGATATTGGTGCCCAGACATATTTTGATGTATGGTGTTTATAATTATAACCATCATCGTGAAGTTAACCCCAGACATTCTTTATTTATGGTGAATATTTTATCTGGGTTTTTTTTCGATTTAAGTTTTGTATTCTTACCTTGTGACAAACATCAATTGCATCAACATATCGCTTGGCCTTCAAATAGTTAAATGCCAGTTTATACCCTAAAAGAAAAAGGATACATACTCTATTAAAACAGTGAACTCTCTCTTAGTTCAATCATAATGTTTTTTTTTTGGTTTTGGTTTGCATTTAGCAAGTTATCACATTTTGTGAATATCCCCCAAGCTTCAGGCTTCTATTCAGTGTGGTGCCCTGTGCATTAAAAGGGAACAGCCACTTCCAGGGGTTTTTAATATTATGCTTACTTTTCCATAATATTTTTTAACAAATATGCATTTGTTATGTGTAAAAAAATGTAATTAAATGTAGAAATTCACATCTCTTTATCCTGGCGCCTCCATCTTTGCTGCCTGTCAATTATTGTTTTCAGCTCTGTCCGGCAGTCAGCATAAAGAACGATACAGAGAAGATAAAAAATTCAAGTGTTTACATTTCTCCTCCTTGTCTGCCATGTTTGCATGGCACGCTTGCCTTGTCTGAACTGGATTATTATATCATTTTATCCATTTTTAAATCTTACGCATACACTTATAAGAAAATGTAGGATCTCACGGGGGATAAAAAGGAAACACAAGATACAAATGATTTTCAGTATTCTACTCAATGGTGTGGTATTGGGGGAAGTGACAGACACCCTTTAATAATAATCCATTCATTTCATAGTAACTATGGTTATAATTCTACTACTTGGGTAGTGTTTGGACTTGAGTTTACCAACAAGTAGAAACAAATGTTTCTCATCATTCTTCGAAAATAAATGTCTAGTTTATTTTCAAACACAATGTATATTGTCATTTTGCTGCTCTTACCCACGGTCGGATTTGCTCTGTTTCCATACTTCCAGGCCATTTCATAGTTGTTGGCTGCATCCTTGTAAGCTTGTTCCTTTTCCATTATGTAGCCATTGTATTCATAAGCTTTGCAGCAAGACTGCAAAACAAGAATGATGAGTTTTAAATAGATGCAAAAATGATAAGGGTGTTTTGCAAGGTTGAGGCAATCAAAAGATGAATAAATCTTGCAAATTTCACTCCTTGCATAATTTTGTTGTGTATGATGGTGCTAGAGAACATATCACACGATGCAAACTGCTAGTAGCTATAGAGAATACTATATTTGTCACATAAACACACATTAGAACACATTTACTGTAACCGAGTGCTGTGTAATAATGTGTGTTTATGTGACAAATATGCACAATTTTGTTACCATTCCACTGTTAGAAACAAACAGTTTGACACTTACTAGGGTCCCTGAGTGCCTGCAGTTCAGGATCCTTTCACATCACTAAATCAAACTTCCTAGTTCCTCACTAGCAATGTCAATTCTGTCCATCTCTCATTGGCGGAGAGTGTTAAGATTGTAAAAACTGATATTGCTAAGGTCACTGTAGCTGATTAATTTACCCTACAGATAAGGTGACACCTTTTTATACAAAGGGTAAACTGACATACCGTTTAACATACCTTAATCAATGAAGCAACATGGAATAAATGTTCATTTTTGTTCTGTTTATTATTCTTTAAAAAAATGCTGTTTTTTTTGGTTGTCTTCAAGTGAAAGAACATACATACACATGTTACGAAATTCAATTGTGCAAAAACATGTCTGGCAATGTGCTGTTCAATATACATGTACTATTTTTTGAGTCTGCAACCACATCAGTCACAAAGATGGTACGTATTGATGTATTATCGTGCAAGTTTTACTAAATGTTATGTATCATCAAATGACTTTCCATACAAAAAGAATAATAATAATAATAATAATAATGATAAAAGGACATTTAGGAATGGATTGTGTTTAATAAAGATTTTCTTTTTAAAAATAAGTGTTACTGTGCAAACAATATAAAATACCTTCAGAGATAAAGCCTCTTACTATGTAACATGCATTGTAAAGTGTAGCAATAATATATATCCTGTGACTCTAAACATGTAGAAATATGAATACCGTAGCAATACAGTAAGAAACAGAAAGGGAACACAAGCTGGCAAAACATTTCATAGTACAAACTAAATGTATTTAGTGGAGGAGATAAGTACACCTGTTACGGTGCCTTTAAACGAGAATCCGGTACACTCTTTGGCTTTTTCAGTATATAGCGATGTACTAAAATGTGTGCCATATTAACATAAACTGTTAAGAGCCAATGAGGCTAACTTGCATTAGGAATTTACTTATTCCAACTCTATTTCATCTTCTTTCCTTGTTAAGAACTAATTTAACCTGCCAGAAAACCATATAGCCTCTATTATTTGTATGATGGACTAGGACTCTGCCTATGTCAAATTCATACTCTACCTAGGGAGAAAAAAACCTGAATATGGTTATAGCTAATATATGTCATAACATGAATCGCATGCCAATTAGATTGCTAGGATTGAGGTATAGGATACAAATGAGAAAAAAGCTACTGTGCAGAACAGTTTGTATTGTCGGTTTAATTGCTTCTAGAATCGGAACAGCACAAGCCCTCAGAGAATTCTGCTTTGATAAATGGTATTTTTTTGATTATGCACATAGCAGAATTTGTAGGCTTTCCAATGAATATTAAAGAGCTTAATTTTAGTGGTTATGGTACACATAGTTCCTTTTGGGTTTTGTCAAAGTGTTTTAAGACATCACCTAAATGGTGTCCCTCTGCAGCTGCTGAGATGAGGAGTGTCACTTCATTGTCTGTCCAAATGTGGAAGACAGTAACAGGCAGCGAGCACTGGCGCTGTTTATATGTATATACACACATACATAAACTTAAATAGCTTTTTTTATACTATCCAAACACTAACAGTCACATTTGTTCTCTCACTACAAACCCAAAAGATGCATTTCCCACTTTGCCCTACAACAACATTTTGTATTTCACCAACTGAACACATTTCATTCCCTTCAATGCAAACAAGTCTCTTTCCTTATCACTCCTTCTAGCACATTTGTCCCTCACTACCCCTTCAACAACACATTACTTCTCACCACCATCTCTCAGGAAATATTACTGTATCATCTTCCTGTATTAGATACAACTATTTCTAGAACACCTAACTTAGATTCCCTTCTTTACCTCCCCTAGTCACATCTCGCCAGCCTCTAACAAATGGACACAAGCTATTCTAGCTAATCCCCCACAGCACAGCTGAATGAAATTAAAACACATTGCAGGATACACTCTGCTTTCTTTTCCTCTGGCCTCACAAGCAAAGCTATGCTGAAATGGACACTATAGGGTTGTATTCCTTTTGCTCTAGTGTTAGCCAAGATATCCCCCAAGATTCAGGCTACTGTTCAGTGTGGTGTCCTGTGCATTAAAAGTTCAGTGTGGTGTCCTGTGCATTAGATTAAAGGCCACCCAGAAGTGTAAAAAGAGTTTTATGTACAATTACTCATATAGCTTCAACGTATTTCACACCAAGGTGCAATAAAACAAGACAAACCTTTAATTCTAACAAAACACGCGTGACATACAGGAGGTGAAGAGGGACTTGTTTTTAAACAAGCTTACCTTCCTTCACACGGTGCACTGGTCTCATCAGTCGCCTCCACTAATGGAGACTATGGATACTGATGATACTCAGCCAGTCGGATGCACAAGGGGGGTTACTGCACATATCCGTCAATCGCTGCAATGCCACCTGCATCTACTATCTCTATAGGTAAATGTTGAGTCTCCATGGAGAATATTGACGTGTTGAACGCCTGCTATCTTTACCAAGACTGTTAGAGTGAAAGCCACTAGAGGTGCCTTAGGCAGCAGTGTAAAGACGGTCATTTCTCATAAATGGGATCATTTACATTAATGAAGCTGTCTTTTTCTGGTGCCTATAGTGTTTCTTTAATTTCTGCAGAAAAGCCAGATGGGCATATATGGCTATAACTTCAAGCAGCAAGCATAATGCCTAGTATGTGCCTCTAACTTAACATTGCCATATTATAGTAACAAACACATATCTATAAATTGAGTGAGAGAGGGACAGAGAGAAAGATAGATGGCAAACTATGTGAACCATTTACGTACCCAATTTTACATTTCTATGCAGATTAAATACTAAGCACCAGTGTTTCCAAAGTGTTTTTATTAAGAGACTTTACATATTTATTTACAATACCAGAGGTCCAGTTAAAGGAGCACTATAGGGTTAGGAACACAAACATGTATTCCTGACCCTATAGTGTTAAAACCACCATCTAAACCCCCTGGCCTCCCTCATGCCTCCTTAAATATAGTAAAATCTTACTTGTATTCAAGTCTGGAGCTGCTTACTTGGTCCCTGTTTCCTTTTGACCAGAAGATCCAATCACAGTGCCTCCCCATAGGACTGGCTGAGACTGACAAAGAGCCAGATCAGGGGCAGAGCCAGCTCAATTCAAACACAGCCCTGGCCAATCAGTATCTCCTCATAGAGATGAATTGAATCAATGAATCTCTATGAGGAAAGTTCAGTGCCTGCGTGCAGAGGGAGGAGATACTGAATATTTGGATGCATTTTAGGCAGCCATGACCCAGGAAGGATCTCTAGCAGCTATCTGAGGAGTGGACAGTGAAGTAATCACTAGGCTGTAATGTAAACACTGCATTTTCTCTGAAAAGACAGTGTTTACAGCAAAAAGCCAGAAGGTAATGATTCTACTCACCAGAACAAATTCAATAAGCTGTAGTTGTTCTGTTTGTTTCTATCTGATTTAAGTTTCCCATCAAATCTGACACTCACCCTGTTGTGCCGAAGACAGCGCTTCAGAAGCTCGCCCGCCATGTCGTATTTCCCGGACTGAATGTAAATATCTGCTAGAAGAAGCCAACTCTTTTCAAACTCTTCTGCATCTATCGGATTCCAGTTCATTTTGGATATTCGTTTCAACTGGTTTCTTGCCTTTGGAGTTTGTTTCAAGATCATGTAGGCAGTGGCCATTCCCAAAAGCGCCGGAACGTGGTCCTTCTGGAGGTATTTAAATCACACAAATATTAATGATAGTTCACTCAACATATTATTAATAACTTTATACTCAAGCAAGCATCATATCATATTTTTCAAAAATCTTGAAATATTAAGTAGTGTAGCCAAATAGTGCTCAAAAGTGTAACGTAGACTGGTCTATTTAGTTAAGTTTGCAATTCACAATTTAGAAAATAACTGACAAACAATTCCCAATTTCACAATTTGAGTCACAAGTCACAATTTAGTAAATAACTGACAAACATGCCATTCATAAGAGTGCTATTTTTGGTGTGGTTAGGAAGTGCACGGTGTTAAGCAATGGCTAGGAATTCTAACCACTGGTAAGAGGTACTGGGTGGCTACTGGAAGTGCTTCCTGGGTCAGTGCTGCACACTGTACAACACTACTGTTTAGCATCTCCACCCTATCTAAAGGGAGCTAAGGGTGGCAAGCCACCTAAATAGTGGTTTTAACTGACACTACATTGTACTCTATAAAGGACAAAATGTGTCAGCCTAGGTACACTTGTATAACTCATGCAGTAATTAGGCATATCGTTATTGACAGCACAAGAATCTAATTAGTGCAACACAATTACAACATCCCTGTAATAATTCTGGCTGTTCTAAACTTGCGCTATTTAATGCACCAATAAGAAATGTGCAAAGGTACTGGTTTTAAAAAAATAAAACTATACTCAAACATATCCAGATTGTATTTTTAAAGTGGTAATTTCTGCATTCCAGTATCCCATTCGCTGATTTTGCATAAACCAACACATTTCTAGTTGACCATTCAGTCTGTGTTATTGTATTGTTAACTTTTGTTTAAAGGACCACTATAGTGCCAGGAAAACATACTTGTTTTCCTGGCACTATAGTGCCCTGAGGGTGCCCCCACCCTCAGGGACCCCCTCCCGCCCGGCTCTGGAAGGGGGAAAGGGGTTTAAACTTACCTTTTTCCAGCGCTGGGCGGAGAGCTCTCCTCCTCCGATCCTCCTCCGTTCCTCCTTCTGGGCTGAATGCGCACGCGCGGCAAGAGCTGCGCGCGCATTCAGCCGGTCACATAGGAAAGCATTCATAATGCTTTCCTATGGACGCTTGCGTGCTCTCACTGTGAAAATCACAGTGAGAAGCACGCAAGCGCCTCTAGTGGCTGTCAATGAGACGGCCACTAGAGGATTAGGGGGAAGGCTTAACCCATTCATAAACATAGCAGTTTCTCTGAAACTGCTATGTTTATAAAAAAATGGGTTAACCCTAGAAGGACCTGGCACCCAGACCACTTCATTAAGCTGAAGTAGTCTGGGTGCCTAGAGTGGTCCTTTAAGGGTCTCTGCATTTGTGCTACTATTCCTTTACAAATCATAACAGTATGAATATTATAACAAACTGACAAAACATTGCTACAATTCATTTTGGAGTGGTAAATTGTGCACAAGACAATCATCTGAATTTGTATTGGCTGGTAAATAAAAGGTAATGTAGCTTTAATGCATATAAAGTATAACCTAGGGATGCAAAGGTATTCAAGCAATTGGTAGATCTGAGCTACTGATAAGTTGCTTTTCAAATGTGGTGGAACGACCCATGTGCATCACATGAGCTTTAAAGGAACAAATGGAATATGTATTCCTAACGCTGTAGAGCCCTAGTCACCTAAATGGTGACTAGGGCCCCATTCCGCGACAGATAAATGGTTAATTAACAATTTATTTGCTTACCTTAATCCAGTGCCGGGCGCCCTCGGCACTGGTGATCTCTCCTCCTCCATCGACGTCAGCTCCCAAGTGAAGCTGAATGCGCATGCGCGGCCAGAGGCGCGCGCTTTCAAACCCGCCCATAGGAAAGCATTACTGTCAGGGAAACGGCCACTAGTGGCTTGATTAACATAGAAACATAGAATGTGACGGCAGATAAGAAACATTCGGCCCATCTAGTCTGCCCAATTTTCTAAATACTTTCATTAGTCCCTAGTCTTATCTTATAGTTAGGATAGCCTTATGCCTATCCCACGCATGCTTAAACTCCTTTTACTGTGTTAACCTCTACCACTTCAGCTGGAAGGCTATTCCATGCATCCACTACCCTCTCAGTAAAGTAATACTTCTGATATTATTTTTAAACCTTTGTCCCTCTAATTTAAGACTATGTCCTCTTGTTGTGGTAGTTTTTCTTCTTTTAAATATAGTCTCCTCCTTTACTGTGTTGATTCCCTTTATATATTTAAATGTTTCTATCATATCCCCCCTGTTTCATCTTTCCTCCAAGCTATGCATGTTAAGATCCTTTAACCTTTCCTGGTAAGTTTTATCCTGCAATCCATGAACCAGTTTAGTAGCCCTTCTCTGAACTCTCTCTAAGGTGTCAATATCCTTCTGAAGATACGGTCTCCAGTACTGCGTACAATACTCCAAGTGAGGTCTCACCAGTGTTCTGTACAATGGCACTTCCCTCTTTCTACTGCTAATACCTCTCCCTATACAACCAAGCATTCTGCTAGCATATCCTGCTGCTCTATTACATTGTCTGCCTACCTTTAAGTCATCAGAAATAATCACCCCCAAATCCCTTTCCTCATATGTTGAGGTTAGGACTCTATCAAATATTCTGTACTCTGCCCTTGGGTTTTTACGCCCAAGATGCATTATCTTGCACTTATCCACATTAAATGTCAGTTGCCACAATTCTGACCATTTTTCTAGTTTACCTAAATAATTTGCCATTTGGCTTATCCCTCCTGGAACATCAACCCTGTTACATATCTTAGTATCATCAGCCAAAAGACATACCTTACCATCAAGACCTTCTGCAATATCACTAATAAAATATTAAAGAGAATGGGTCCAAGTACAGATCCCTGAGGTACCCCACTGGTGACAAGTCCAAGCTTCGAATATATTCCATTAACTACAACCCTCTGTTGCCTGTCACTCAGCCACTGCCTTACCAATTCAACAATATTTAAATCCAAACTTAAAGATTGCAGTTTATTGATAAGCCTTCTATGTGCAACAGTGTCAAAAGCCTTACTGAAATCTAGGTAAGCAATGTCTACTGCACCACCCAGAAACTGCTATGTTTTCAGCTGCAGGGTTAAAACTATGGGGACCTGGCACAAAGACACTTCATTGAGCTGAAGTGGTATGGGTGCCTATAGTGGTCCTTTAATTCAACAACAAATGAACATAATTTTGTTTAATACAACTGATATATAGAATATTTGATTCATTTAAACTTTTAATCCTAGTATGATTTTTTTTACTGAGTCTTTGGGAAGGTTTTTTTACCATATAAATACTTATTTGATGTAAAGGTAGCAGAACATTACAGAGTTATAGAACATTTGAACAATGTCTACATTTGACACATGCAAAGTATAGCTTACTTCTGCTGCTGCAACGTCTGTAAATGTATTAAGTGCGCGCTCCACATTTGCTTTTTGTTTGGTTGCCAATAAGCAATAGTTCTCCATGATTCTCAGCTGTATATGACCCTGAAGTGTCTGGGGCTTCAGTTCTTTAAGAAGTTTTTCTGCAGTTCGTACGGCAAGTTGGACAGACTCTTGTTTTTCTGTGGAATTCCTTTTAAACACAGTTAAACTATGCATTAGAATAGATCAGTTAGTCTAATGTCCCAGTGAATTACTTTGCCATGTTCTTCATTAATGGTGTGGCCCCAAAGAATGAAGGAAGGGCTTCTAAGAAACATTCACAAAACACTATAATCAATATCCCTTAGTAAGAGCAGAGCATACTGATGCACATGCATGGAGTTTAAACCTCTTCTAAATGTGAAGTAGGGATTTCTACTGAATGTGCACAGGACACAAGTGTTTAGAACAAGCTACTGATGAACATGTAAGGCATGGCTGCTCAGAAACACCAGACAGCAAAATTAAATTCCTGCTTATTTTTTGACCTATTAGAAGATTAATTTCAATAAATTCAGACATACTAAATAGAGGTGTGTCTTAACATCATGGTAAGGTGTACCATAGCCATTTTCTAATTTTGACATTGCCCCATTACAACATTGAAGTAAACAGCAATATGTGTATTTTAGAGAGTTAGGTACTTTGTGATTTAAGAATGTCAGTGCAGTATTTGATTACAGAAACATAAAATGCAGACTTTATAGTGAGGGGAAAAAAGTATTTGATTCCCTGCTTATTTTGAACGTTTGCCCACTGACAAAGAAATGATATGTCTATAATTATAATGGTAGGTGTATTTTAACAGTGAGAGACAGAATAACAAAAAAACTAAATTAAGAAAAACGCATGTCAAAAAAGTTAAACATTGATTAAATAGATCATTTCGTAATCAGCAGGGGATCAAATACTTTTTTCCCTCACTGTATTAATGTCCTTACCCAATATCACCGTCTAGATTGTCAAATACTTCGCCACCGACTGTTTCATTATCTGGGTTTAGACAGATCTCAATCATGTTGTATACAGCATTCTGCCCCCAGTCACTGTCCTTTCGGGCTTTATTGAAATGGCGTAAGGCATCATTGGGGTTTCCAGTGTTCCTGGGGAAAGAAATAAAACTTATAATATTATAGAAAAACATTCTATGATACTATCCAACTACGATGTGGTGTTAAGCAGACTGCATGGTAGTTCTTAAAACAAGCACTTGCATTGGATTGCAACTGTAAAGAGCTTCTATATATCAACTGCTGTACAGTGCCTCATAAAATGTTGGCGCTATATAAAAATTCAAAAATCTATTCTATTCTATCTTTTAAATAAAATCCAAAGGCTGAGGAAAGACTAAAGGCTGTTGTCGAAGGGCCACATTTTGACTGAACTTGATACATGAAGCTTTCACATACCACAGGTATAGCCCTTTGCAGTAATGAAACCCAGGTTCTAGCTTGGCTCTAGAAGAATGGTTTTCTGCGAGATCAAGAAACTTTGGTATTTCTTCTAGTTTTCCAGCTCTTCTTAGAAGATCAATCAAGCGAGAGAGTGTAGCGTAGTTATCTAGAAGAAGGAATACAACTCAATGTAGTTACATTGTAGACTTTTCTAAAACTGGTACAACATATAGTCACTATCCTAAGGAGCGAACTACATATACATTGTTTATATCAAAATCCCAAGTATTCAGTATGTTTAATGTCACTCTTCCTCACAGAAACTTCTTGTCTAGGTTAGTTAACAGCTCATGTTCTTTTAACTCAATAGATATTCAAGTCTTAATCCCTTAGTGGCATTAGGACATTCCATCAAGTGCTACAAATAGTTGTCTCAAAGCCGTTAGAACGCCCTTTCATAAATCTTAAATCCTTACTCTCACCAGGGAGACCCAGTTACTAATCAATACCTGGGGATCCCCTTTATCAGCTGGGCCATATTTATTGGCTACAGAATGACAGTTGAGCTGTATGCAGCTCTCAAAATGAGCTCTCCTCATATAGCCCTTTATATCTATTTAAATCACCGCGGCTGAGCAATCGCGCCCAGCTGCAGTGATTCTCAGCCTGCCATAAGTCTAAGGAAGTAACAGGACTGGTTGTCTGATAGACAGACAGGGAGGTGTAACAAGAATAATTTATATCTATAGCCCTTTATATCTACTTAAATCACAGCGGCTGAGCAATCACGCCCAGCTGCAATGATTGTCAGCCTGCCATGAGTCTCAGGAATTAACAGGACTGCTTGTCTGATAGACAGCCAGGGGGGTGTAACAAGAATAATTTATATCTATAGCCCTTTATATCTATTTAAATCACAGCAGCTGAGCAATCACGCCCAGCTGCAATGATTGTCAGCCTTCCATGAGTCTAAGGAAGTAACCGGACTGGTTGTCTGATAGACAGCCGGGGGGGTGTAACAAGCATAATTTATAAAAGTGCAAATATATATAGAAATCTGCACTTTTTGTTAATAGAAAAAAGGACACAGTCTTCACTGCTTTAGGGGTCTGGAGGGTCAATTTTATGCTGGCTTAATTTTAGGGGTAAAGTCAGGTTAGGTGTATGGTTAGAGTTAAGAGTAGGATTAAGAGAAAGGTCGAGATTGGGTTAGTGTTAGCTATCAAAAATTAATTTAGATCGTAGACATATGAGGCATTTAACCAAAGCGAATACATGAATCTATTGAGTTCTTTTTCTTTAGTTGCACTTGTTGTGTACACATTATTATATGCAAAACAATGCATTTTTGTAAATTTCAAACATTTTATTCAAATTTAATGTTGTGCTACATATACACATATCTATAATCTATATAAACACAGGATATTAAAAGAAATATTAAAAGAAAGCTATTTCTGCTCTTTAAAGAAATAGTATATAATGTGTGTGTGCACACATAAAGAGAAACAAACAATTCTAGGTTTTGTTTTGCTTCTGAAGTTGGGCAATTGCCTCTGTACTAAATCAGTTAAACAAATTATAGACAGCCAGGGGAGTTAATAGTGCTGAGAGGATCCAAGGGAAATATTTGCAAACCAATACTAAACTGCAATTTTCCATTTTATTCCCTGGGTGAGTTACACAGTTACATAGCAAATGTCCTGGAAAACTAAAGCTCAGTTCCTGTACACTCTGCAAACTCACACATTTATGTTTAGAGAGCCGATAACAATACCTGGCTTTCGTTCCAGAAGCTGCTGAAAATGGAACATAGCCTGCTCATAGTCCTGCTTTCTGAACATGAGATCTGCCATCATCTGCAGCATTGCAAGTTGGAGAAAAAAGCACGACTTACAAAATTAGTTTAGTTAGGTAAGCACAGATTTTATTCATTTATTTCTAGCAAACCAGATTTTGAACACAATGAGTAAGCCTCTGTAGCAAAACGCTTAAGTGTTTTTAGAAGTGTTTTAGCTGTATTTTGGTTTGATTAAGTTGTCTTTAAATAAAACTAGTTTTCTGATTTTACCATTGAAGATTTTATTTGGAGGATTCACCCTTTTATTTCCTTGGGCAATATATCCGGTTTAATTTTAATTTCTATACTGGAAAATTTCATGCTGCAATTGATTTGCAGCATGCAATTAAATAAATCCACTCCTGACACTAAAGCGATCCACTGACCTGGGACACCCACCCTCAAAGGACCAGAAGCACCCACCTATCCACAGGCGGGGATCATACCGCCCAGGCATATACATTTGGAGCTTATCAAAAGCTTCAGAAAATTGTGCGTGTTTTTCCTTTATTCATCAGTCTAAAGAAATATTACACTATATGCGATCTCTTGCTCTTTTTTTATATACCACGCAACTCCTATACGGACCTGTGAGCACCCGGAAGGCGCTGCTTCCCTACACCCCTTTCAGTATCACCTATTCTACGGCCAGAAAGGAGAGACTCTGGTTGGGGAAGTATTAACTGCCAAATTTATACAAAACAAGTGCCACAATTCCTTCCTTTCATCGATAATGAGATAATTAAATAATAACATCTTGAAGTTTTTTTTTTAATCTTAAGTTACTTTAATTTTCACATACCATTGTAGCGGCTTCATTGTCCTGGTCATTCTTTAAAAGCAGGGCGCACTGTTGCTGGCAAGAATCTGTGTCATCTTGAGCGAGGTAAAGGTGTGCTAGCTCCAACATCACCTGCAGAGAATATTGGAAATGTGAACTATTAGTGGAACACGTTTATTGTCTGTCTGAAGACAAATAAAGTACGATGGTATAAAATATGCACTATTTAAAATATATACTGCCTATATAGTCAGTAAATTACTTCCCTACAAAATAAATTACAAAACCTATTAGGAATGATCAACAGAGAATAATACTTAAAAACGTGTTCTTTGAAAAAGTTTTTAGAATGTCTACTTAAAGAGACAGTAATAATTAACTTCAGTTTGTATGATTGTACTCCCAAACTATTAGATACATATTTTACTTTATCTACATGTACTTTAGAAGGCTGTGTTTGCTTTATTTTTCAACTGTAATTTTTCTGGTCACTGATCGCTATTTTAATATTTGCTGTATTTCACTCAACACAAGAAGAAACAGCTGGCCAGAGGGCACCTTTTAAATGGTCTAGATATGATTTTTTATGAATAGGGATCTACCGATTGGCTTAGACCATCAGATGACCACTTTAGCCAATCAGAAGACCCCTGCCTGGCAGCACTGCACACTTCCTGAAAGTCAATTGCGGAAGCTGGATGCCGCCGGGGGAATTGGAGATCTGGCATTAGAAGGCAAGCTTTGGGGTTAAACAGTTTGATAATGGTTTAACCTTTCCAGGTTAGAAAACACCCAAGGACCCCCTGCCAACATAACAACTTAATTTCAATTAAGTTGTTATGGTGCCTGGAGGTATCCTTTAAGTGACAGTACTGTCTAATTAAATGAGAGGAGTAATCATGACAAACTATTCAAACACGAAAAATTACATGAAGATTATGTTTTCACATTTTATGCTCTATTTTCTTTTAAATGCTTATTAAAGAGTTTGAAAATGACATTACAGTCAAGCTCAGCCCTTGTACAGCCAGGTCTAATATTGCTCTGGTGAAACATTTCTGCACTTCTCACTATGATCTCTCTATGCTGACAATAGCAATGGCACAGCTTATAGCAATGGTTAGCAGGGTTAGCTAAAATGGAGGTACTAAGTCCCAATGTAGAAGTAAATACAGAAATGTGCATTTGTACTTTTTTCTATGTTTTTAGACATCCTAAACATATATTTGTTCGATATATGAGATAAACATAATTTTCAAAATTTTTAGATTGTATCAGTTTCCCTATTATTTCTTTATCCTGGAAGAGTGAAGAATCTGAAGCAAGTCTGTCAAATAAAGACTGACATTATAACAGGAGACAGTGACTCACCTTACTGTCTGTTTCACAATATACAAGTGCTTCTTTGTAAAATTTGATTGCTTTTTCGTAATCTCGCTGGCCTGTGCAATGCTTTGCAATTTCTGCACAAATTTCTGCTGTCAGACACTTCTGAACTGGGATAACATCAGGCTGCTCTATCTGAGCTCTCTTCAGTACTCTGGCCTGTAGCTCCCGGGCCTGAATATAAAAGAGAAAATAAATAGAGAATAAAAATAAATTATTAAATATAAGTATGTGATAGGCAGAATTCTGTCTTATTCTCTCTTTCTCGGTTATTCTCTTCCCCTAATTTAAATTGGTAATCCACACATGAACCCTTTGCTCACTGTGCCTAGAGGGATATAAACTACACCTCATGGATGAGACCAAAAGAGGGCTGAAAAAAATCATACGCTGTTACAATATCCCTCGAGCAGAGGGAACCTGCGTGCACTTTGGATCTGGACTGCTTTTATGGACAGGGTCAGTCTGATATGCAAATGATATAGGTTCTGTCTGTAATGGCACATGTTGGCAAAAACATTTTTGAGACCTGAGCAGGGCCTAACCGAAGGGCAAGCTATTGAGGTCTTTCTGATCTTTTTCCTGTTTTCAGAGTGCTCATATTTTCTGTTTTTGTTGCAATGCATTTGCTCAGGCTCTCCATAAATTAAAAGGGTGATCCAGATGTGGACCTTGTGCCTAGACTCTAGAGGGTTATCAGCTACACTTTGCTAAGAAGGCCCAAAGAAGGCCATGGTGATTGTCGGGTGTTGCTGTACCTCTTGTGCAAAGGGAAATTGCCTGCATTATGGATCTGGACAGTTCTTGTGGACAGGGCGAGACTGATATGCAAATTGTATGGTTTCTCTTTGTAATGGTGCGAGTGAGCAAAAAAGATTTTAAGACCTGAGCAGGGACTAAACAATGGGCAAGCTATTGAGGTGTCTCTGATATTTTACCTGTTCTCATATTCTCGGTTTGTGTTGATGTGCATAATTTTTTGGCATTATAAGATAATGTTCTCAATCTATATTGCTTCCCTTTGTAAACTCATCAGCTCCTCTGGCTTCAATATTAATTCAATGCAGATGACATGCAAATCTTTCTGTCCTCTCCTGATCTCATGCTGTCACTCTTGATTCGTGTTACTGACTGTCTCTCTGTTATCTTTAACTGGATGGCTGCTCATTTCCTTAAAATTAACGTGTCCAAAAGAGAACTTCTCATCTTTCTCCCCTCTGTTACTACTCCACTACCATCAGCCTTATCTCACAGGCTCACTGCCAAGCTATTCTCTTTGACTCGAGCTTCTCCATCCCCCTTCATGTCCAGTCACTTGCTAAATCCTACCATTTCCATCTCAAAAACATAGCTTAGTTGCTCTGTCTAATGCTGGATGCAGCTAAGGTGCTGGCCCATGTTACTCTCCTCTCCTCGCCTGGACTACTGCAATCTGCTTCCCAGCTTGCCCCGCTACAGTCACCTCCTGTGCCTTCCCCCTCTGTCATCAGTCTGTCAGGTTTCCTGTAGGATTTAAGTTCAAATTTAAAAGTAAAATTTTTAAAATGCTGGTACTTGCTTACAAATCTGTATATAACACTGATCATCCCTACCTATCCTCGCTAATGTACAAGTATGCCTCATGCAGGCTTTTATGCTCTGCCAAAGACCTGAGTCTACTCTCTGCTCACACCTGCACCTCTGACACCCACCTTCAAGACTATTCAAGGGCTGCACTGTTCCTATCGCACTCCCTTCCCTGCTTCGTTAGACTCTCACCTAGTCTCCATTCCTTCAAAAAACTCACTTCCTTAGGAAAGCATATCAATTAAACTGTTAATTGTTTTCCTCCCAGCACCTTGATTACCCACCCAGCTAGCTCTCTTACAACTGTGTCACCCAAAAAAACCTAGCCACTCATTGTTCATTATTCTAGCAACCTACTTTTTCCCATACATGAAATAAATCCTGCCCTTACCTCTTGTGTCACTTTACTCCAATAAGGCTAGAATGTAAACTCGTTTGAGCTGGGCACTCAACACCCTCTGTTCCTGTGCATCCATACATGTCTTGTTGCAAATACTTGTCTGTTCTAGTCCGACGATAGTCCGCCTATTGTATAGTACTGCGGAATTTGTTAGTGTTTTATAAATGATAATAATTGTACTCATAGTAACCTTTTAGTCAGTAATGTATTTTTATCAAGGACCTTATTCACCTATTGTCCTGTAACTTGTAATTCTGTAATTGTTTGCACTTCATATTCCTTTATGTAACCCACTGCAAAATGTTTTGGAGTCTTATAAATATTATTAACAAAAAAGTCAATTTCAAAAAACACTGCATATAGATATATTGCTCAAGGAATCTGCTTTTAGGAAGATATGAGAACAATGGTCTAAAGTCTAGACTATATATTGCTTACAAAACAAATTAATGCTATGACTGTAACTGTGGCTCCCATTTTACGGCCTAGTTCTTTCGTTTTTTATGAGTAAACAGAAATAATGTGATGATTGGAAACAAATCTTAAACAGCTTGACAGTAAAACACCATCTGGTCTCTTACACATCAAAGTCAAATCCCCTTTGTTTGAAGTGAACATAAAAAGTTAAGTATGTAATTCATGTACAATGCAACAATTTTAACAGCTTTCCCTATTTTACTCGTACCTGATACATTATTATTAATTGTATTTATAAATAGCTAAGCTATTCTGTAGTTTTAAACAGGAGCATGCGTTATATATTTGGCGTATATTTAAATTGTATGGTCTTGGTTTTGATGTATTGAGTAAACCGAAAGGTTTGAACTGTAAGAAACAAAATAAACATGCTACCAATACTAACTTTCATGTATGGTGGAAAAACATAGGATTGTTTTTTTTTGGGTGGCGGGGGGGTTTAGGCTTGTGTGAGCAATCTTTGAGTAATCACATGGAATGCCATTTTGATCCTTCAAACAAATGGTTTATAATGAGTAAAGAACTATAACATTTAAAATATCAAAGTAGCAAAACTGGAAAAGTACATTTAGGTTGTCACTAGTTCCCAAGTAGCTCCTGGAGTCTACATGTTTTCGCCCGGTTTAAAGGCACCCATTTTATTGACCTCAGAAGGATTGAAGGCTGAGATGATCTTGTTGTGATTTGAATCTGGCATGGAATTGAATCTGGAATCTGAGATTCTACCACTAGCATCATTAAACACTAAGATGTGCCTCCATGCAACAGATGACACCACAATATTATTGCATCAGAACGTCAAGTAGACTATCAAATGAGGTGAGCAATCACAGTGTGCACCTGCCCTGAGCTACGACCTCTAGGTTATGCTACTGTTTTAAATTCGTTAAACAAAGAAACAATGGAGGTTTGTTGGCACTTGAAATAGGCAATACATTAAAAACTTCCAAGGAGAATTACGAGAATTACCCTTTGTAATGAAATTATAGCTTCTTCTGCCTTTTCCATTTTGCTGTAAATTTTTGCTAGTAGCACTTGGTTACGGCTGTCATCAATGAGTGAAGATAGATCATTTACTGAGAAAAATACAAGCAGGCGTAATTAAGACATTTGGATATTATAATTCTATGCGCTTGTTTTAGAATGCAAAATGTACTTGGTTAGTAGTCTGGCATGCAAATAAAGAGATAAGTGATTATCGGTGATGTCCCTTGCATTCCTATTGTTTTTCCTGGCCATTCACTGTAACTTCACTTATAGTTTAAATTCCCCCACTCAGGTGCCCAAGGTAAGTTAAAGGGACACTATAGTCACCTGAACAACTTCAGCTTAATGAGGTTGTTCAGGTGAGAACTATAGCTCCCTGCAGCCTTTCTGAGAAAATACAGTGTTTACATTGAAAGCTAGGAACACCTCCAGTTGCAGTCACTCAGAGTGAACAAGAGGGACTTTGGAGTTGATGGAGGCATAATATGCCTCCATCCACTCAGATATGCTGTCAGCAGAGCACAGGGCAGCACTGTGCACAGCATCCTGTGATTCAGTATGGCGTATAATACATTGAACTTTCCTCATAGAGATTCGTTGATTCCTCATGAGGAGATGCTGATTGGCCAGGGCTGTGTTTGAATCATGCTGGCTCTGCCCCTGATCTACCTCTTTGTCAGTCTCAGCCCATCCTATGGGGAAGCACTGTGATTGGATCAGGCTACCACATGTCAGCAGGCTGCTTGTTTTTCTGAGTGTAACAGCATGCAGATTTACAGCTTCAGGCTTGAATACAGTAAGATTTTTACTATATTTATGGAGGCATGAGGGGTCATGGTGGGCTAGATGGTGGTGTTAACACTATAGGGTCAGGAATACATGTTTGTGTTCCTGACCCTATAGTGATCCTTTAATGGGTGAAATGTTATGGGATGAATTTCATGTTACCTATACTAGTACCTAAAGGTCAATTGATTTTTTATTTTTTAATGTCCTCTCCATCTGTACATAAGTGAGAGAGGTAATCCACTTACATAATGTTGATATAGGATAGCAGAGAGTGCAGAACCCACACAATACCTATCTGGCTTAAATCTTTAGCCCTAAGAAAACCTCACAATCACCTCAAAGAGAAATTAGAAAACCAACATATGTGTCGGCTGTAATTCTAATGCTCCAAAAAGAAAGAATCTTTGTATGCAATGCCTCAGAGAGCTTGCTGATAACCCAAGAGACACAGATACAGACCCGAATGAGCTAAAAGACTGGATTACACAAGCAATAGCAGAGGGATTCCATTCCATTACAGCACAGGCTCAAACCAAAAGAAAGAGAAAACCAAAAGCCAACTCAAGTTTAGAAGGAGAGCTAGATTCATACGATCAGATACAGAACAGTAGTCAGGAGCATCCTTCAGAAATATAGAGAATAATTTAGAAGCTTATTCTGGTGAATAGAGAAAGTGTAAGAATATCAGAAGAGAAATCATCTATTGAAGCTTCAGATAAATTCTTTGAAGACCTATGGAAACAAAGGGAATTATTTCCTCTACTGGCTACCATCAAAGAGATAATCATCCCAGAATGGATAAAGCCAGAGAAAATAATCCTACTCCAGAGTAAAGTTACCTACATTTACAATCAGGATAGCAAACATTGCAATTCAGCTCCTAGAATCATCAGGCTAGCTAAAAGAACTAGAAAAGACAAAGTGGAAACACCTCCCAAATACGTGATAATATAAGAACAAATACAAATAACCTGAGATATAGGTTGTAATTCATAAACGGAATCTGTATAGAAGATTAAAAAAACTAACATAGCGTAATACAGTACTAAATAGGTGAGTGATATATTAGTGGAAATAAGTGCACTCACAAACAAAATATGAAATCAGGCTTCTCACCCTCCAAAGGGTAGCAATCTTAGTGAGTAGACAATCCTCCGTGGGATATATAAAAGAATAAGAAACAAATATAGTGAAGCATGTAATTAAATTACAAAATAGTGTTTATTGGTCTCACTTACAAGTGAAGAGAATTAGCAGGCATATCTCCAAATAACATGGAACTCCCAGAACGGTGTGAAAAAAGTCAAATAGAAGATACAATGAAACAGGCAGGATACAATTAAATCTTCTATTGGACTTTTTTCACACCGTTCTGGGAGTTCCATGTGGACATTATGAAGTAAGTCTCAAAAAGTATGGCCATGATGGATAGGAGTCAGAAAACATAAGAGCTCTCTGGCTACATTCATGGGAGGCTGACTATGGCTAAAAGGCAAACCTGTGCTCGATTATTTGGAGAAACCCTAAATTAATCTATTAAAAAGGCTATTGCAGGAAAAAAATACATTCTTACCAGGAGACAGAGGAAAACATCCTTCCCGGTCATGGAAGGATCAAAGGAATAAAGAGACCTGATCCTTTTGTGACTCAGCGCAATATCATTCAGGTAAGGAGGACTCCAGAAACTACTCCTTGAGATCCTCTCAATTTGCCAGATCCGAGGGCAGAAGAAAAAATACCACTAAAAACTTCTAAAGGTGTCCAGGTCCCAGTCAGATAAATTTTTTCTGACTTGGACCATTTCCATCTCAGATGTATGGGCATTGAGAACAATTAGAGATGGATGGTTACAAAATAGAACTCTTTTGAATTCCATCTCCAAGGTTCATGAAATCCAATGTATCATTACTAAAGATAGGACCAATGATCTCAGAACTCTCTCCCTAATATTATCAAAGAACTAAAAACCTATGGAGAATTAGCAGGTTATAAACTAAAGAAATCAAAATTGGAAATATTAAATATCTCAATCCCCGAGAAAAATTTATTACAAAAAACATTTCCATTTAGATGGGTAAAAAGCTAAATAAAATATTGAGGAATATATCTGTCAGATAATCTACAAATATTATAGGAATTTAATCATCTTAAAATTCTAGAGGAGAGTAAAAGTGATATACAAAAATAGACTGAGTTTAATATCTCATGGCTCGGAAGAGTCAACGTAATTAAAATGAACCTCACACCAAGCATATTGTATGTTCTACAAACAGTACCAATAGAAGTCCCTAAAAAATGTTTTATATTGTATAACAGAGGGACTAAAAGATTTACTTGGAAAGGGAAAAGCTCTAGGTTTTTAGATTGGGTTTTTAATATTTAACCAAACCAAAATCTTGAAGGAAATATATAAAAAAGAAAATGTGATTTCTAAAAATTCTTTAATGACCTCTCCCCCCCCCCCTTATTATTAATGAAGAATTGCCACCAGATTTCAACAGAAGAAATTTAGAAATCATTTTTCCATCGGAAGTAATATATCCCACTTTAAAAAAATACAATAGATCAAATGAACAACAAGATTATAGCTTTCAGAGATTTTATTTAGAGAATCAGATAAAGCAGTATATACCAAACTCTAAAACAAAAAGCCCCTTTGTCAAAAACACATACTTATTTTGAAACATTATGTAGTTCACAAGAACCCCAGATTGGGTTGAACTCTAAAGTATTTAGAAATGTAAATGAAAATGAATTGTCTAATAAACCTTATTATATTAGGAAGCGGGAGATAGATTCTGGAATAACACTCTCAAATGAACAATGGAACAAAATGGTAGAAATAACACACAAATGTTCAATATCTATAAGAATACAAGAGAACTCATATAAGATCTTGACTAGATGGTGTAGGGTTCCATATCTTTTACACAAAATAAAAAAGTAACTTAGATAGATGTTGGTGGTGCCCAGAAGAGGAGGGAACATGTGTACATATTTGGTGGTCATGCTCCCTTATTAAACCTTTTTGGGAAAAAATTATAATAAATTTGATAGATGACAGCGTGCTGAATATAAATCCTGCATTGATATTAATTCATAATACAAACCAATCGATAAGGTCTTATGTGAGTTCTTCAACAATTAGAATAATAAACTCTGCTAAAAAATGAATTCCTAAATATTGGGAGGCAATCACAGATCCCCTCATTGAAAGAAAGAATGGATAGATACAGTTGATGAAATCTGTTCAGTGGAACAGATAATACTCTTGAATAAAGGGAGGAGCAAGGAACATAATGAAAGATGGAAAGCTTGGCAAAGATATTAAGTATATACTGTAGTATCTCAGTATTTATCAAAACAAATGTATCTTGCAGCAGTTTGGTCTCCCTCCCTTCTTTTGTATGGGTAGTCCCATTAGTGATGCTGCTGTGGTTCGCTAGAAAAACAAAAAATGTTTACTATACTTTCCAGAATTTTGATGTCCTGGCCATTCCCACAGGGGCATCAAGCATCCTACCTTTCTGGATTTTCTTTAAAACTAGACTTACTAATGTGGGGGGAGTGGGTTTATTTAAATGAAGCTTAAATGCTTCCTGTCCTGCATGCTGAGTGGTGGCATTTAGCCTATTGGTGATGCTGTTGAGGGAATGGCCAGGAAATTAAAATTACAGTAAGTATGGTAAGAATTTTCTGTTATCTTTTTGCCCTTCTGTGACTTTAGTGGTCAACATAGAACTATATAAATGCAGCTTCATCCTCGTGGAATTGAACTAGCCTACAGAAAAATAATGCACATTGGTTCTTTATAGAATATGCACACTGATCAGTTCTTTTTAGAATATCCTACATTAGCATTTTTTATAATCACTTTTTTATATGATTGCTAGAAGTTGGTAAAAACATTTGCCGCATTAGAGCTTTAGCCTCTGTGAGGGATTGTAAATAGTTATCTTATGTTTTCTGATTCATTTTAAAGTCATTTTAAATTCTCTATTATTCACATACATTCCTTTATACAATCCCTTTACTAATATGGTTAAAGCATCATGCTGGGGTAGAGATATTCCAGTCTACTAGCAATTGACTTTGTAGGTCATCTTAAATTCATATGACAACATAACACAATAAGCAAAGGATGATACAATCTGTAGAATAGCAATCAATTCAAGTTAAATTTCTCTTTAGCATTCCAATTAATGACAGCTGAATGATGGCAAACTATAAGTTGACGTTCTTAGTAAACATTAAATTGTCTGCTAGTATACTTGCATGGCCAGCTGTTCAGATGTATGCAGCACAGATACAAAGCATGACATTCAGTTATGGTCATGATAGCACAGACAGTTTTTAGTTAATTTATGTTGCAATTTAAAAATGAAATAAAGAAATAAATCCCCAAATCTGAATTTCCAGTAATTTTTGCAAGTCAAATACAGCTATACTCTGGGGAAATCATTGTGAACTACAGCCTCCTGTGTATCTGATGTGTGTTTAGCAGTTTGAATAACAAAAAAGGGCAAGTTAAGTCTTAAAAAAAAGGGCAAGTTAAGTTTTTTTTTAAAAAAAGGGCAAGTTAAGTTTTAAAGGACCAACAAAGTTTAAAAATAACTTTTGCTTCTGTTATGGCATGTATTATACAATCCCACATGCTAGCGTGTGCATCACTTCTCCCGTGGGTTTCAATGAGACACCAGGGATTGGCTTGCATATTCCAACACCTTTCTGACTGCTGCTCATATCACTATTTGCCATTTAGATCTCATAGTAGCCCGACAAGCCTATCTGCATGATTTTTAAAATACTACATAACTAACACATTACACATGGGTTGTAGGATCCACAATGCAGTGTCCCTAAATATATGTTTCATTTCATGAAAGAAAATCAATTATCACTCATATATCATACCTGTGTCATGATCCAATGCTTGCTTAAGCACTTTCTCTGCTTTTTCATATTGTTTTAGCTTTAACAATAACTCAGCTAAGTCATAACGGAGGGAATTCTGTTGCCCACTTTTTATAGCAGCTTCATAGTAGCTGATGGCCTATAAAACATAATTTGACATTGTTAATTTCTGAAGGATTATACTGGGTGGGATCTCATAAGGAAATCCATAGAGATAAGTTAAATACCTTTGCATAGTTGTGAGTCTTGATTAACGCTTTTCCAATTTTACTTGCCAGTGTCCCATCTTTAGGATTCTTTTTTAAAGCTTGTTCATAAATGTCAATTGCTTTTTCAGGCTGTGGAAGAGGATAATAGTAGATCAGCTATCAGTTCTAAATTAGAAAACAAAAACTATTTTAGAAAAACTTAAGAAAAAGTCCAATCATGTGCAGTATTATCAGCTGCCATCAGACAGTTGACTGCGAAGCTGATAATCAAATGCTTTGAGAAACTAAATAAAAAGTTTAATACTAAATGCATGTATATTTTTTTAATAAATGTTAACATTTGATGTTGACTATCAAAAATCTAACTGAGAGATTGTAAAAAGTTCTTATGTTTTCTGACTCATATTAAAGTCATTTTTAAAATCCTTGCATAGCAGCAAGGAGAGGTTGCGTACCAGATGTCTTCCAGCTTTATTTATTAAAAAGATACCAGGTTATATCACACAATTAGTTATAACGAAGCAAAGAGCACACTCAGAGCTCAAGAGTTCAATTAGCATTTGGCTTAGTGTCTTAATGTCTATTTGGTTAGTCACCTACTTCAAAACCAGATGACACCAGATAAGTACCATTCACTTTCGCTATGAAGTTATCTGGGTGCAGTGTCCTGTTCTTTTAACCCTGCAATGTAACACATACGTATCACATCCCCAATGCTCCTCTATTGGATTAGACCATGCTGGAAGCCATGCCTCCTTGATGAAGGCAGAGAGGTGAGCAGAGCTAAGGTAGTCTCAGTGTTGGCAAAAAGTGAGTTAAATGCTTTTTTGAATTAAATTTATTGTAAGGGAGATAGGTATAACTAGGGACAGGGTCACTAAGCGCTAGGAATATAAATTTGTATTATTAATGCTATATTATTCCCTTAATTTAGAATTTCTTATGGTCTATGTTTATAGCCTGCTAGAGCCTCATGCGTGTCATTCATTTCAATTCAGATATTAGGAGATAAGACTTTCTAAAGTAAACACACACTTGCTGGCAGATCTGATTGAAAATGATACAAGTCTTTCCATGTAGGCTGTGTGAGCCACAGCCAGGGGAGGTGTGGATTGGGTTGAATAATAAAAAAAGAAACAAAAGATTTAATTCTGAAATGGCAGAGAATTTAGCAGTGATACTGCAGGGGCACAATCTATACCAGGGTATAGGCAACCTTCAGCAGTCCAGGTATTGTGGACTGCATCTCCAGTAAAGCTCTTATGCAAAGCATGAGGGGTCTTGTAGTCCACAAAATCTCGAGTGCCAATGGTTGCCTACTCCTGACCTATATACTAAAACTGCTTCATTAAGCCAATGTTGTTTTGGTACTTTGAATTAAAACAAAAAATAATCTTGTTTTTTTTAAAAAAAAAACATTTTCTTCACATTTGTGTATGCCTAACAGAAAATATATAGGTGCCTTTAGTGAAAAGACTATCGGGCTTTGCTATAATAGAAGTAGCTACTAGAGACATATATTTTACCTTTAGCACCAGATTTTTAACTATGTTTGAAGAACAACGACCAATGAAAATTTGAGCCACTTCTACTACGCAGTCTGCTATAAAGAACAGTGCTTCTTTACTGCACAGTTCTATATGAACCTAGAACTAATGCAGCTTTTAACATTATTAACATTATTTATTTAACGTTATTACGTGCATGTAAATGATCTGTAACTTACAAATTAGTTTTTTAGCTAGTGTTTATATTTCAGAGATTATGAGGTTTAAAAGGAAGAGATTATACAATCTACTATTTAAACTCCCCATAAATCTGCCACGGCCAATCATCCACTGCCAAACTTGAGGAAGAAATTCAGTGGAAAATCCTACAACTGTTTTCAGCGGCAAAGAGACAATGTGGATATTTACTGCTGAGTTTTACAAATGCTTAATAGGAGGTGATAGGGCATCTGGAACTTGGCTAAAGTCATTAAGATCTTCAACACATTTTTTCCCACTGTCCACAAAAAGAAAAGAAATGTGCTGCACTGTGGTGGGGGAAAAAAAGCACATTGGGCAGTTTTGTGGTACACAATTGCAGTACATAGCAACACAGCATGTATTGATGCTTCACTTCCCCCTGCTCTGTTCAGCTATTTTTTATGCCCAATAGGAAACAAATGCATGTTGTATGTTATTTGGGTGTTGTATGTGATATGGATGTTACGTGGGCGAGAGGAGTGCTGTTTGTGATGTTCCTGCTGTGCGTGGGTGTCTTGGGTGCAGTGGCAATGAACAATTATATTTGTCAAGCCCTCTAATACAGGTGTAGTTTAACTGTATTTATATAGACCATTACATTAATCTTGTTGAGCACAATGCATTAAATTTGAGTGGCAGGGAAAAGGTGTCATATGCTGACCCAAACCTGTGCACACAACATGGATATGTCAATATAATTTACCTCCTGAATGTTCATGTAAGCATCACCTAGAAGAAGGTACGAGTGGGAACTGGGAATTTTCTCCACCAAGTCTCTAAAAAAACAAGTTTGATGCAATTATTAAAATTCCTTACTGCAACCATGACCTTGTTATACTTGGTGTATTGCACTATTTTCTGTTAACGCAGCATAATATAATATAGAATACAAATTTAATATTCAACTCCCAGGACAATGGAGTGCAAAAAAAACCCACAGTCATAATAGAATTCATAATTCACTAAATATTGAGTTAGATACAACTAACAAGTGAAATGCACATTTTATGTGAGTTGAAGAATTTTCCCACTTGAGCTATTTTGGCTTAAAGGGACACTATAGTCACCCAGACCACTTCAGCTCAATGAAGTGGTCTGGGTGCCAGGTCCCTCAGGTTTTAACCCTTCAGATGCAAACATAGAAGTTTCAGAGAAACTGCTATGTTTACATTTGGGATTAATCCAGCCTCTAGTGGCTGTCTTCCGGACAGCCACTAGAGGCGCATCTGAGAAATGTGAAATGCTTTCCTATGGACTCTTTGAATGCTCGCGCGGCGCATGCGCATTCCGCTCCACTAGGGAGCTGACATCGGACGGGGAGGAGAGGTCACCAGCACCGAGGGAGCCCAGCGCTGGATAAAGGTAAGTTGCTGAAGGGGTTTTAGCCCTTGAGTCCAACGGGAGGGGGACCTTGAGGGTGGGGGCACCCTCAGGACACTATAGTGTCAGGAAAACCACTTTGTTTTCCTGACACTATAGTGATCCTTTAAAATCGGTCAATTCTACCAAATTCCTGGTTAAGTGAATAGCCTCATTTGTAAGAAGTGAGCAGAGCAGCATAGACAAGCTAACCTTCCACAATTAGCAAGTAAATAAAATAAAAATACATGAATACTACTGACCTGTAGCAACTGGCATAGAGCTTCTTATCGTTTCTATAGTGCAGATAAATATCAGCCATTTTCTCTTTGGCTTGCACAAAATAGGGCTGCTCTGGAGAGATATTTCTAAGCATGGATAAAGACTGCTCAACATCACCATGTGCCAATGCCAGCTCAGCATTAGCAATCACTAAGCGCAGTTCTTCAGGGGTGCCAGAAAATTCATTGATAGCATCTTGTAAGACCTTGGTAGCTTCGTGCTGTAAAGAATTACAAACATAAAGTTCTAACAAAAACTTGCACTTGCCACAACTATGTATCATAGTAGTATTTAGCCAAAACAAAAGCATGTTTGTCTCAGGTTTATTTATTTTTTATCCCGGGAATCAAAATAGCAGCTTCAGCAAAGAAACAGTTTCATTACTGTAACTTACCTGGAGTTTACAGGGTTGGATAAAGCATTGAAAACATTGAAAACAAACAAAACAAAAGTTTGTGTTCATATATTATTCATGAGATTATCAGTTTTCTTTTACATTTATACTAAGGCAAAGCCAGGGCAAACACTACAAAATGCTTTCTCTATCCTGTCTGTCAGGTGGTCGCTGGTCCTTTTGGATCACAACCCATGCTATGGTTTAAAACAGCGTCCGTTTTCCAAGGGTACATGCAGAAATGCAGTATTAAGTCTAAAATGCTTGCTGTAAGGAAACCTAGTATATCCAATCCTCATTCGGTAGTTTCCTCCCGAACCGCCAGAGCATCAGTGATTATAGCTCTCCGTTCGGTAGATGAAATAAACTAAATCCATACGAACACAATAGCTTTACAAGATGATTCCCTTAATAAAGCATATGAATCCCCAAACATCAGCCGAAGTCAAGAAGAAGGGTACAACAGAACTGGCTTTTAATGACCACACACTGGCTTTTATGCAAGTCCCCATGCAAGGGGACATCCCACAGGGTGGGACACAGTACAACCAATCATTTACAGGAAAACCGTAAAACACACCCAGCACAAACATACAATTCCCTCCCCTAGTCCTGGAGATAATCAAGTCTGATAAAGTAATAACTTGATTATCTCCAGGCAGAAAAATTACATTTTTCCCCAATATTCAGAACACCCTTTAGGCATGGGGTATCCCCACAAACAATATGCCCCCTAATAGCCCCGATCTGGGTGACCAACATATTCAAATTTCACCCAGATCGGTTCAGGGGTTCTCAAAAAGTATGGAAGTCTTTTGTGACCGGCTAACCGCGAGGTGGCTGCCCAAAATAGTTCCAGGAGTTTGGGTGGTTTTACCGGTCTATTCAGTTAAGTGGCAAAAACCAAATAATTCCACAAATGGATTCCCCTGGCTCTTAGCAGCGATTGTTCCCCTCATTCGAATGCACAAAAGTACCGAACAGCGCTCTTCTAGCTGTTCGGGAAATAAAGATCCAGCGTTCGCTTGTTGAGACTGGTGTTCGGGAAGTCGAGTGTCCGATTTTAGTTCCAGACACTCGACGACCAAGTCCCGCTGCCTTTGTTCGCATGAATAAAGATGGCCGCCATTTTCTCAGCCACGTGACGTTCGGTAGTACGAACGCGGGCCGCACAGATAAAGGGTTCAATTAAGGCATCTTTGAAGTTTTAACGAGCCAGGGGGATGGTCTCTGTTTGGTAGTTATATCTACCGAATGAATAGGGAAGAAATATTGCACATAAAAGAGGGATTTCTTTACACTTGCCTGGGCTCATTTACATGTCAAGCTGGGAACTCTGGGTTAGCTGTGTAAACATGATTTTTAAAGTTTTTATGCCGAAGGATGACTTTCCAAAGTCCGACTTTGTTATGCACAATAATATATTTTTCTAATTGTACTGTGTTGAATTGTATTGTGTTGTGTTTGGCCTCACCACAATCTTCTTAGCACCTAACTATATACTCTTAGAGAGACTTTAAATTCCATACCAGAACTGGCGACATGCTGATGAGGTTCATCGGGTCAAAACAGCAGTCCACGTCTGGCTTCTATTTATTGATCCTTCTGTATTACAGCCCATGGTATGGCTTATTAAAACAAGTTGTGTTTAAAACAGCATCTATTTCTAAGGATACCTGTGGAAATGCAGAATGAAGTCTAAAACACAATTCCTGTCTGTGCTCACGTGCATATCAGGCTAGGAATTCTGGGATAGATTAACAAATATGATTTCTTGAATTACTATGCTCAAGGACTTTCCAAAGTCCACCTTGAAATATGCAGGTGATCCTCAACAATATTTTGTGTAGGTGCAAAGGACACAGCTTACAATAATAACTGATAGGGAACTAAGATGGAGTCAGCCCATAAAGAGGTGTGGGTTTTTACATTTCACTTTGTTTTTCACATCTCACAAATACAGTGTTCCTTTAAAGGTTATTTATTTATTTTTTTACATTTGCATTATGTTCCAAATGATTTATGAAAATATCTATTATATATATTTTCATAAATAGCTTTGTGTGAAACTTTTATTTATTTTTTTGCAAATATTGTACGGTGTGACTGTAGATTAAAGACAGAAGCTAATTTAAGCTTTGTGTTACCTGCTCTCCATTCATGCGATAAGCATCAACAAGTTCAAGAAATATGGATACGCGGTGGCTCACACCAATTTCGAATTTCTTTGCTTTTGATTTTAGGTTGGATCCCGTTTTCCTCATTCCTGGTAGGTTCATTGCTATCTGTAGTGTCTTTATTGCTTCTTGCACTTCACCCATCCGTTTTTGGGTCTGGGCTTTTATCAGATTATATAATGGTAATTCCCGTACCTGGTAAAATTCAAAGCACAAAAACTAAGCAAAATAAGAGAGAAATATATGTAATCAATGCTAACATTATCATTAACCTGCTGACCTACATTTATCAACATAAATTAAAGTGCTTGCTCCATATTTACCTGGATGAAAAGTTCCAAAGAATTCAGTTGGATGTTTTATGTTGTATTTCCCCATATTTAGAGCCAGAACTACCAGAGTATTAGACTGATAGATTCCAGTCTAGTTGTAATGTAAATATATTTACCCACACACTAAACATTATAAAACCATGTAAAACACATACCATTGCAATCTATTTTATTATTATTGTTAAAGGGTCCCTCTAGTCTCCATAACCACTACAGTGCTCTTATGGTCCCCGAGTGCCAACTACCGGTGATCTGTGAAAATATTTAAGTTTTTTACCAGACATGAAAGGTTCGTTGCACTCAATGCTTTTTCTGTGTGAGTTGATCTGATAAAGCAGAAGTTGCATACTTTTGCATTTTCACACCAACTAGCATCGGGTCTAAACAGTATTCAGGCTATGAGTCTAAACATTGGCTGACATGCTCAGCTAATGAATACGGTCTAAACCTGGTATGAGTTAGTATGATAATGTGCTTCAGCAGATCGTCTCACGCTGGAAGTACTGCAATAACCCGACACCACAAAGTAAGGGACAAAACCATATGGTGAGTAACGCTGGCACTGCAGATTTGTATGGATTACATTTCCCAAGCTACTCAGCCAGTCTAAAGTTTGTTAAATATAGTCCACAATCACCGGTTGTGCCAAGATGACCTAATACTGGCATTGATCTCATATTCTTAGGACTGAAGGGTTACTTATTCATAATTTATAATGAATGTTTTGGTAAATGTCAAGTTAACTCACCTCAAAACTGTAACTCAAAGCGAGTTCCAAAGACTGAGAACAAAGTTTTACATTATCCTGGGATAAGTACACTTGTGCCATTAGAAGATGTGCATCAGCATATGAAGGATTCTGATCGAGACAATGTTGAAGACTACTTTGAGCTGCTGCAACATCACCTAATGAAAAGTAAAACATCAAAACCAAATCACAATCATTTTATACATAATAGTAAAACACATGATACAAGAAAAACATCAAATATAAATTAATTTTGTATTTAGGAATAGATATTTTACCATAACCATTACTTACCTGCCAAGTACTTCACCTTTGCAATTAGGAACACAGCCTGCTGAAGACCTGGTGCTGTCTTCACAATGGTTTCAAGAACAGAGGCACAATGTCTTAGCAGTGGAGACATGGGCTGACCAGGAGCAGGGGGCTTGGGAGACAAACACGTGCACAACATTCAGCACTGACATGCACATGGAATCAGCGAAACATTATGTAATAGGTGTACATAACAGATGCTTTACATCACGTAGGCACAGAATTCTCGAGCAACCCTCCATTCCCACTTCCAAATGAATAATAATAATATAAACAAAAAATACAAACTTGACTGGTTAAATATATTTTGTATGTACATACAGATATAGAGTTTGTTCATGTATGTATATATGTATGTATAGGTTGTGCACATATGTATTAGTGTGTGAAAAGGTGTGTCTATGGTGAGTGTTTGTAGTAGTGTGGGTAGCAGCATGTATAGTACTGTGTGTAATAGTGTGGGTAATAGCAGTATGTGCACCATTGTGTGTAGTAGTAAGTGTGTGGACAGTGTAGGCAGCATTATGTTTGTGTAACAGTGTGGGCTGCAGTATGTGCAGTAGTGTATCTACAGTCTGGCTAGCAGTATGTTTAGCTATGTATGTCCCTGACATTTTTCAGTTGGCCATGCTGACCATAGCAAGCCTTCTCCTGCCAGTCCTCTCCCTCCAGGAGATCCCTGTGTTCATTCTGAAAGGGAGGTGCCATGCACAGATCAGGCACCTTCCAACTGAATACATTAATCTTAGAGTCCAGCAGCCTCTGTTCCATCAGAAAATAGCAGACACTTGGCAGGAAGTAAGTATGGGGCTACTAATAGGCATGACCCCATCAGCCATGCACCTGTAGGTAGATAATTACAGGTAATGGGAAATCAAACCCTGCATTCATCAGTGGTGCCAAATGACAGATAACCATATATTGTTGAATTACAACTCTTATGATGCTTTGCCAGTCTTTGTTTTTTCCATTGCCATATTTTGACAAGTTTTATTTGGTTAAAATCATCTTATTGCCTTGGATATTGTACTTTTTGCAAACATTGCCTATCTTGCTCAAACAAAATCACATAAAGTCGCTCAATAAAAATATACAAACTTTTAAATTACAAAACAATGTCATTGTTATATGCTATAATCTATTGAGCATGTCTACTGACAGTAGCTTTGTATATTTATTACAACCGTAGGATTAATGTAAACTTTCCATGAATGCATGCTATGTTGATCAAAAAAGTATTTTTGTGGCATTCAGTACTGTTACTCAAGGGACTTCTTCTGATACATTACTCAGTGCATATACCGCTAGGAATGACTCATACATAATCTGTGTAGGAACAGAGATTGTGCATTTTAAATATTTTTATTCACTATGTGAATTGTTGCAAGGATTTTGAGTGCACTAACATATATGCTTTTACTGTGCTCTTGGAGTGTATTTTCATGTGCATGAGAACATGTATATATTTATATATTTTCTTTGGCCTCACTGCGCGATCATTTCTTCAGACCGTAGGCACTTGCATATGGTTGCCTTTTTGGCAATTCGGCTATAATACACCACTACTTTCGCCTAGAACAGCATTACAGAGTAGGGTTTATCAGGTACTTGGAAACAGAGTGGGGAGATCAGACTCATTGACAAATCTACAAGAGGTAACAATTTGTGAGTTTTGTATTTTTAATTTTATCTAAAAAAAAAACCCATTAAAATATTAAGTCAACTGCAGTCCCTCAGTGTTTCTTTCATTGAATCGGTTAGCAGGTTTTCAGTCACAGGATCTGTCAGCATACAACATCCAAGCCTATAATTTCAATGTTAAATTATTGGAGAGATAATGCTTGTAACTGGCCTCTATAGAAATCAACCACAACTTTAAATCTGAATTAAATTAGGATAGCATATATGGATTACTGCAGCATGCATTATCTAGACTGAAAGAAAAAAAATGTAATCTCGCTTTTTTAACAAGGGTAATTAAAATGATAAGCATTTCAAATTTAAAGAACAAACAGTTATGTTGCACTTACTTGTGTTGGGCAAAAATTTAGATATTCCCTTATAATCTCAAGCAGAAAGTCTGGATTGAGTCTCTCAAAGTACTGAATGCCAAGTGGTAACCCTTGTAGGGAGGAGAAGTGGGTATCCAGGACATCATTAAGCAAGTGAATAACTTCTTCCTGCTTCTTGTGTTTCTTCATAGCCAGCACGGCACGCAAATACAACAATTCCTTCATAAACAAAATAGGAAAGAAAACCGACAATGGTCTAAATTAAGAGTTATCTGTCCAGATGGCGCTGGTTAGAAGTTTAGCTGGTTGACTGTGGAAGTTAAAGACCAATTATAAATACATATAGGTTTCATTATTTACTATAAGCCGATTACAATTACGTTGTAGAAAAGAAATACTGTTACTATTCTCCTCGGTACAATTTGAGGACTGCAGCTTACAAATAAGCGAATATGGTTCACACTATGTAATATATAAAATGGGCCTGGAAGAGTGAAGTATGGTAAATGCAAATAGGTGAAATGTTCTATAACAAGTTTATATGTGGATTACAACTAGAGAAGGAGAATGTATTAACAAAAACAAATTTGTGTTTAGAGCAGTATAAACGTAAAATGTAAATTTGAATTACCATATTTTTCCATGTATAAGACGCCCCCATGTATAAGACGATCCCTATTTTTTGAGCCCAAAATGAAGAAATACATATTTTAAACATCTATAGCACTGAAGTCCAGTTTGGCTGATTAGGTCCCCCACCGGGCCCCCACCCACTCCTTTAGGCCGCTCCCCGAAGTCCGGTTATGTCCGGACACTGGTTTCCTGGTCCGTCATCCTGCTGTTGGTGACAACGATGCCCTCTGCCTGCGGTACCCTGCGGGGGATGTCCGGGCATGGCCTTACCCTGTGGCATCTATCTGTAGTCCAGAGTCGTGAGGTCTTGGTGTGGTACAGAGTGATGAGAGGATGCATGCAGTTGCGCAAGATCTCCAAGACCCTCGCACACAATCAATCAAATTCATGGAGGAATGCCTCCTGTGCTTCAAGTATGTCAGCAGGACACAGAGGTGTATAACACAGTCTATGCCTGCAGGAACCTGGCAGTAGCAAACCCAAAGGTCAGCTGAGTGTTCTGTCAGCGAGTAGCCAAGTTTTGTTCCCAAATTGCGCTGCTTATTCAAAATTAATAATTAGATGTTTGAAGGAGTTCCAGCCACATGTGACTGTCAGGCCCCGGGCACAAGTGTTTTGTTTTTTAACTCTTGTAGTGACATTCCATGTATAAGACGAACCCCAATTTTAGACTAAAAATCTTTTAGAAAAAATCATAATGGTATACATGGAAAAATACGGTAAGTGGAGTTCTGTGCTACATTAATATACATATTGTGGAGCTCTTTTTTCACGAATATATTATTAATCCTATGTAGAACTAGATATATAACATACAAGCTGTGAAGCTCTGTGATATATTTATATACATGCTGTGGAGCTCCACACACTACTGAAAAGCACACAACCTAGTTCTGTATAGACGAATATATATAAAGCAAATGATATACACTAATACACACGCAGTTACAAACTTACAAACCAATACACACTGACTTCATTATACTATTATATAAATTGTGATCTCTGATTATATAAGATATAATCTCGGATATCTATCATGCATGCTGTTGACCTTTTATTTACATGTGGCTTTTGTGATACACTAACATCCCGTGGAGCTGTGATATGCTTTTGTGTTCAGGCTTATGGGAAATTCTAAATATGTCTATCTAATAAAAAAAAGATATAACAAATGTCTGAGCTACTTGGAAATTTGAATTCCCTACATATTTTCCCTAGCTATGAGACATGTATTGAATTTGTTGAATGGAATTCACACCTTCTAGAACTGTACAAGTAACTAATAATCATAAAAACTGGTAGCTAAAATCTTACAAACAGAAAACATCAGCTTTAACTTACTGCAGATTTTCCAATGGACTGTTGGATCTCCATGAGAAACTCCAACTGCTGATCAGCATCTTGTAACTGGCCTTCTAGGAGCTGGCATCGAATGATACCTACAAATAATCACAGTGTGACACTATACACATTTTGAATCAATGTAGTCACTAAATGAAGAGTTGTGGTTACTTGGAAAAAAAACTTGGAAAACTTTGTCAAAAAGCTATCACAACCCCCATGCCTAACCAAAAAATTAAAAACAACCAAAAACTTCTAAGTGTGTAGATTTAGATATTTGTCCAACTTTATTATTTCAGCCTAAATTTTGTTGGAAATTACCAAAACTCATTGATCGGCAAACACACCCTTTGAATTAATATCTCTGTTGCCAATGATAGTTACAACATATAACTTAAAGGGACACTCCAGGCACCCATTGGAGTGGTCTGGGTGCCAACTCCCACTACCCTTAGCCCTGCAAGTGTAATTATTGCAGTTTTTTTATAAACTGCAATAATTACCTTGCAGGGTTAACTCCACCTCTAGTGGCGGTCTACTAGACAGCCACTAGAGGGAACCTCCTGCTCTATAGCACAGAAAACCTGTGCTAGAGTGTCGCTGGATGTCCTCACGCTGTGTGAGGACCTCCGGCATCGCTCAATTCCCCATAGGGAAAGCACTGAAAAGTATGTTCAATGCTTTCCTATGGGGACCTCTAATGTGCATGCGCGGCATTGTTTTCCTGGCACTGGAGTTTCCCTTTAAGACCATGGCAAAGAGAGACTGAAAAACAACTCTAGCAATAATAGAATAAAAACTATCCTTGCACTGGTGTTTGAGAAAGGAAATGTTAGAACACCTACCATCGGATTTACAGAACATTTAACAATTAATATTTGACCAAGTTAAAATGTTTAACCTTATTATGAAACCCACTGACAATTACACTCAAGGAACAAAAGTGTCATGAACAAAAGCAAACATCACTCAATTGTATATAAACCAACAATCTGAAACACAAACTTAGTATTCCATAAAGTGAGAATTGCTGGGAATTGAAAGTAAATTTAAAATTAGGCAAAGTGGAAAACTTCTCCCATTCAGCTATATTTTTTGCTACTTTGGTCTTAAATTTGAAATTCACTTTGGATTCCAAACAATTCTCACTTTAGTAAATATCCCTATTTGTCTCTCCAGTGGAGTCTACTAACCAAATGTCTGACAGTAGATTTTATCACTGACTGTAACTAAAATTAAAAAAAAAAAAATATATATATATATATATATATATATAAAAGCAATTATCACTGTGTCAACAAATATCAAAACATTTTTCAAAATGTTATATCAATTTTAAAAGTTTATGCAAAAATATGAAATAATTTTGAAAGTGTATCCAAAATTATTAATTAATTTGAAAAGCTTATCCAACAATATTAAAACATGGCCTTAGTTTGGACAGCAATAAAATGCATCAAGCAGGGGTTGAATTATAGTATATATATATATATATATATATATATATATATATACACACATACACACACACACACACACAGACACACACACACCATATACTCACCAGTAAGGGCAGGCACACTGCTCTCATCAAGGGCCATAGCTGTCCTGTACCATTTTAAAGCATCCTTCACTTTGCCTTGCAATATATGTTGGTAGCCAAGCTCAGTGGCGATTGATGCATCATGAGAAGCCATGTTGAAAGCACACTCCACTAGAATTTGAGTTTGTTGGAGAATGGGTGAATTACGCTCACACTAAGAGAAAAAAAAAATATTAACTTATTACTCTTGAAATGATTACGAGCAATATATCACAAAAGGTTAAGGTACAGTAATACTACATAGTAAGTTATATAAAATAACACTTAAAAAATCTGTATTCCTAACACTATAGAGCCCTCTAGTTCCCCCCTACCTAGCCCACCCACCCTGAGTTTAAAGTTACTTACTTGATTCCAGCGCGAGTCTTTCTCAGCACTAGGTTTGCTCTCCGCCTCCTCCGTCCTCATCCAACACAAGCGCATTAGGCTCTCCCCATAGGAAAGCTTTGCTTACTGATGCTAGGAATCCTCATGCAGACCATGAGGATATCCAGTGCCCATTAGAAGAACGAAAGTCCATAGGCAACCAGGAAGTGCCTCTAGTGGCTGTCTGATTGACTACCACATGTTTATTTATTCTCATCAGTGCATTTTCTAATCACTGACCAGGATTTGCATCAATCTTTGCTTAAAGTAGAAAATCAGAATACAGCTTTTCTTTCAAGTGTTCAATTGCATGTTTCTACCCACAGCTCTCATGACCTGCTTTCTAAAATACAAATAACCCTTTTGTAGTACTAACCACTTCTCTAGAAAAAAACGTGTACACAATTTTAAAAGTATGTTTGCCTAGCCCAGGATTATGCATACAGAGCACGCTTACAAACGAAAAAATTGCCCTTGCTATGTCTAGTCAGCTCTCATCACAGTAGCACTGGGAGACCTAGCACTGGGAGCCATCTGCTTAAGCAAGGAACAAAGAGACTAGCTTTCTGTCTATGTCGCTCTGCTAGAGATCCTACTTGCACAAGCAGTACGGCAAGCAGGATTATCAGCAGTGGTTCCAGCACTAAACACATAGACATGGTTTCCTTTCTTTATTGACACACTATTTAAAAACACTGCTTATATGATATTTCATTATTCTGTAAAGGATTTTTCGGATTTCTCCTGTCCGCAAATGAAAATCAATATAATTTTTTTTTTTAACATTAAATAATATACTACATATGCATACTGAAACGAAACATAAAATGTACGCATTACTTTCCAAAAGCACCAAAAAACATGATTTCTGGTTGCCATTTCTTGGTAAATGGTTTGTTGAAGGAACACTATCACATCAGGAATTCAGCTATAGCATGCCCCTGTCCTTACCTGTAGGTGTGTGTCGCTACCATGAAAGCGACCACAAAAGGGCTTAAAAAAAAAAAAAAAAACTTTTTTCAGTTACCTTTTTCCACTGCTGTGATCCCACGGAGCTGGATCAGTCTCCTCCTTCAGAGACACCATGCCGATGGAGGACCTAATGCTGTGCGCAGTGAGTGCCACGTGCATTGTACTTTCCCCATAGGAAAGCATTGATTCAATGTTTTTCTATGCTTATTTTTAAGACATACTCATGCAAACCGTGAGGGCGTCCAGCAACATTTCACTGAGATAATATCCGTAAGAAGCCAGGAAGAGCCTCTAGTGACTGTCTGGAAGACAGCCACTAGAGGTTGTCTTATCCATGCAATGTAAACATTGCAGTTTCTATGAACCTGCAAAACCTTTTAATAGTACAGATATCATTTTTACAGCATAAACGGTGCAAAAGCATGCTAATGTCATTTATAAATCTTGACTGTAAATGGCGCCATACTTACCATTCTGCTGAAAGCCAGTGACATACTATAATATAGCTGAGCATTGTGTGGTTCATACCGGTTCAACGCATTGATCAGATCCCCCAGTTTAGCTGTAGCCTAAAAAAGGAAGAGGTCTGTTGGTGAAATGGTAATGTTAAAGTAATACTATAGGCATCAAAGGTTAAAGCAGCAGTTTTTGTGTATTGATCATGCTCCTGCAGTCTCACTCCTCAATGTATAAGTTAAAACACTGTTGTTTCTGTCCATGCAGCCCTAGCCATACCTCCCCTAGCTGTGATTCACACAGCCTGCATGGGAAAAAAATGGTTTCCTTTTCAGTCAGATGTTAACTCACTTTGGAAACTTGTATCTCCTGTTCTATAAATTGAACTTTAAATCACACACAGGAGGCTGTTAACTGAGCAGGAGATACAAAATTCTAAATTAAACAGAATGTACAGTAAAGAAATTTAAACATTAGATTGCTCTTTACAGGATGTGTTTAGGAAGGTTGTGTAAGTATGTGGCGTGTAACTAGGGCTGCATAAACAAAATGATTTAACTCCTAAACAGGAGGGAATTGAGAAGCGAGACTGCAGGCTCATGATCTATACACCAAAACTGCTCCATTTCCCTTTAAGGAAAATAAGCTTTTTGCCAACTTGACTGTCTTGACCTAAATTCTGTGAAGTGAATAAACCAGAATATGGTTCTGCCTTACCCCAAACATAAAACATATGTAACATTACTTTTCTATAGGTCTATAAACATTAACCTGTCGTAACTTTGAAAATGATTACTAAAACATTTTTGTATTTACCTTACAATATAGCAGATATATATTTGCAGAATGCAGGAACTATGTAGTTATATTTAAGTTGTAACATGCTTTTATTTCTTTTTATAAATACACTGAATAAATATATGCACAAGTCCTATACAAAATATGGAGTATAACAGTGCAGGAACTAGCACTTATAAGACTTTATCTTTAATCCTTAAAAATAGTTTTTGGGAATTTCTTTCTATAGTCAGCATAAATAAACATGTCTGCAATATTTTCAGGGGTGAAACAGGTAGATGAGTTGAATAAAAATATATTGATCTACATACAATGCATAATTCACCATCATCTTTCTGTAGAGGGACAGAAAAGCATTTTTTTATGTAAGTGATCCCCATGAGAACCCACGTGCAGGGAAATGCCGAAGAAAGCTGCTGAGTGTGGGAGTGTCAGAAAACTACGATCTATAAAAAATGGTGGTGCCTGCCATGTAGATTATAAATTACCAGTGTAGTGTATTTCACTCCAGAGAATACTGTAATATTCACACTATTGTACAGCCTGAAATGTTACTAAATGTAGAAATACAATGTTACATACACTTTAAGATTCTAGTCTCTGCAGTTAGTGTGCACATGCATCCGTGCACTGCCACAGAAGAGACCTGGACATTAACTTCAATTTATAATTTAATCTGTATAATAAATGTTAGTCTTAACTTCCCTAGCATCCTATATAGAATACATATTATAACTGGTCTGAAGCCAACCTTGCCATCAACACAATTGTGCAAGATATCATTTGTTTCATATGTTTATAAAATATGAACAAACCTCATGTACATTCCCCTCTCGGCACAAATAATGAAGAGCTAACATTCTCAGAGCTTCCAGGTTATGGCTGTCCTGCTGTAGCAGCCTAAAAGGGAACAAGCATTATTATTAACAATTATCTTGGGCCAACATATTTTGCACTTATTTAGAATATACAACAGGGATATACAATGATCAGCCACAACATTAAAACCACTGACAGGTGAAGTGAAGAACATTGACTATATTGTTTCAATGGCAGCTGTCAAGGGTGGGATATATTAGGAGTAGGGATCGAGCAATATTGAATTTTTTAGAGCCGATAACGATAATCAATGAACTTTCAGGCCGATAACTTACTGATATCGATATTCTGTACATTTACCATTTTGAAAAAAGAAACAATTTCTACACAAATCTACTGTTAAGTGAACAAGTTTATTATTTTTGCCTTTTTTTTATTAAGTGGTAAATGCACAAAATATACATGCCAGTCAGATGTTTGTTTTCAAGAATATATAGTGTTCCTCTCCCTTCCCTGTCCGTTAGTGTACCTCTTACCTCCCATCCCTGTCCCTTAGTGTTCCTCTCCCCTCACCTCCCCGTCCCTTAGTGTACCTCTCTCCTCCCTGTCCCTTAAAGGACCACTATAGGCACCCAGACCACTTCAGCTCAATGAAGTGGTCTGGGCGCCAGGTCCACATAGGGTTAACCCTGCAGCTGTAAACATAGCAGTTTCAGAGAAACTGCTATGTTTACACTAGGGTTAATCCAGCCTCTAGTGGCTGTCTCATTGACAGCCGCTAGAGGCGCTTCCGTGATTCTCACTGTGAAAATCACAGAGTCTCCAACTATGATTTGTGAACAGTATGCTCTTTACACTGTATGGTAACAGGTTCATTACTTATAACATTGCTCTCAGCTTATTTCAGCAACTTTTAGAGAGAGTAGGCCCCTTAACTCCCTATGTTCTTTGTAAAGAGCTTCATGCTTCTCTACTTTCAGTGATCAGTTACAATAATGCAGATAAGTACTGTGTGTGTTTTATTATTGTACTTTTAGTCATGCATAACTAGGCAGTTAGGACCCACCGTAATTGGAGTACTTTGGCGCAGTGGTGGACTGCATACAACTTGGCCATTTCTGTATGTCTAAAATTCCAATGTTTATTGCATCTATAGTACTTAGTTATTTCTCCTCTTGTTTTGCCATTTAGATCTTGTCTTGTATTCATGTACAGTCCTGGCCTGTTCTTGTTTTCCCTCATGTCTTGTGTACATGTTTTGGGTTTTGCTTTCTGCCCTGCTCCGGTTCTGGGTTCTTCTCGTCTTGTCTTGTTATCTTGTTTGGTGCCTATTCTAGTCTTGCCTTGTTGCTAGTACTGGATACATATCTGCTGCAGAGCCTCCCTATCCAGATCTTTGGAGATCTGCATATCATCAAGCTCCTGGGATCCGTAGTACCTGCATCAGGGCCTTGGTATGTGGCCGCACAAACCTTGATGCTCAACACCAGGGAGCGTGTGTTTACCCTGCATGAGACCATGATAGTCCTTTTCCACACTGTAAGTCCTACCATCATCAGGCATACAGGGGTGTCGGTTTTCACACCGCCACCCGTGACAGGTATCCAGTTGTGTCTATTCTAACCCTATTGAATTTACCTAGAGTGAATGGATTTCTTATTTTACTCAAATTAACTGATATTTTGCACATTTACATTAATAAATAAAATAAACTCTAATACACATATATTTTGAAATGGAGCTAAAGTAGAAGAAACAAACCTAAGGATATATTTACTGACAGGCAAATTTAGCGGAAATGGAAAAAAACATTTACAATTCAAATGCTTGTTATTAACACAACAAAACTGTTAAGTGAATAATACCCTATGAGTGCATCTGAGCTCATTCAGGGAAATGCATTCTTTTCACATCATTGTCATTTGACCTTTGTGGGAAATTTCAAAATACACACACACACATATAGAATATATATATATATATATATATATTTATATAAATATATGAAAATATATATAAAAAAGGCATGTCACCAGTGGCATGTAGCTATATTAATAAAGTGCATGCACATATACCGTTTACGGTTGCCTTGTGCTAGTAGTAGTTAGCAGGCTCAAATCGTATTCAGCAGTAGTCTGCTTGAGGCTAAACATATCGTGTAAGCATGGTATGTGGGTGTCTGGTAAATTACAAGGATTTTCTCGATCAGTAATCAAGCCCTGCTCCACGATTAATTGGTACCTTTAACTACTAGAGGTTTCATCAACGTTTTGCAGAAAAATGTTATTCTCAACTAAAATCCGTCTGTCAGGGTGGCTAAGGGTCTCATTGATCCACCTGCACTTTATGCAGTATGTGCTTAGAATGATCAATGGCTGGCGAAGGTGACTTTATTATGAAATGAAGAGTGCAGTTATAATAAAATACACTGCATTAGCATTGTATCTGTATATTGTGAACCAGAAATGAGAGAGCAAGATAATGATATAAAAAGAGCAAAAGAAAGTACAGGGACACACGAAGGACAAGTATTCACTCGACCTGAGAAAATGTTTCTTTACAGCAAGAATAATAAAGGTGTGGAATTCTCTGCCTCCAGTAAGTGTCTTTAAATACGACATCATCAAGAGATTCTCAAGCCATGATTTATTTTTTTTGTAAATCAGTTTATTGATTAAGCATGCAGAGGTAAGCAAATAACTCAAGCCATGAATTTTGTCATTTTTACAGCACAAATGGTTATTGCTTTTATCTCACTCTTTTCACATAATTGTAGACACACATATGTAAAAAAGAAAACTTGCTAAACTTAAGTATTAAAAACACACACAAACACACACACACAGACTACAACAATATTACTTGTGATTTTTTTTTATATGAATGGGGCACTGTAAATGCTATATCTGCTATATTTATACCAGACATACATCCTTAGTTAGTAGAGAAATTATTTCTGGCTACAAATTTTGGATATAAACACAGATTTCAAACTCTGTTTAAAGCATTTGAAATGTTGTACTGTTTCCAAAATCCTAGTGTGCTCCATCTCAGCTCAGCAATTTAATTTCAGCATTCATTCTTTACTGCTTTTTGAGCAACAGAAAATACCACCAGCCCACACTTTCCCCAATATGCCTATCAATCTGGAAAGCTAGCATTTGACATTTGTGAGGTGAGGAAGCACAGTTTGTATACTGAACCTCAATGCAGTGTCTACAGTCTGTTCCCAGTCTTGCAGAGCCAGCTGAAGCTTCATTTTCTTAATAAAAGCAGGAATAAAGCTCGGATAGTTCACTATGATTTTGTTCACAGATTCCAAGGCTCCTGAATAATTTTGCCGTACCTCAAAATAGTATGCCTTAAACACAAAGGAAAGGGCAAATTACAGGTACCCAACATCTCTTGAAATGATTGACAATTTAAGCAGCATAAACAAAATTGTCATGGGTTATAAAGAAAAAAGTGCAAAGAGATAATGAAGAATCTCTGGTAACAAATGCTTCTAAAATCATCCTACCTTGGTGATAATCGAATGTTGGCTACACTCTTCTGCTGTATCTTAAAGAATTTAAGTGGGCTACATGATTCTAAAGTCCTTCTAAATACAGCCTGAGCACAAATTGCTATTGACATAGGATGTGGAGAGGCAAGCAAAGTCACCAAGAGGTCTCTTGTAGGTCTTTGAATACTGCTGGGTACTCAGAAATAGGCATCCCAAGGTGTTGGTAAAGGAACAATTCGAGCATTTTAACCACTACAGCACCCCATAGTAGTTATGTTGCCAGGACTGCCTTTGCACCCCAAACTGTAAGTAGTCAAACTAGTATTGAACAGCTTGGCTTCTTACCTGGGGTCTGCCTGGCACTGCTACCCACTTGCACTACTTCAGACTGTGTCTGTGTGAGATAAGCCCTGCCCATGAATCAGTCCTGCACTGCAGGGCTAATGGAAGCTACCGCTTGGGAGCTTTTGTCTCTCCACAAGAAGCAGTGGGGGTGAGGAGCAATGTATGGCTAGACCCTGGGTAAGATGTAAAACTGTTTTAAAACAGTCTGACTACAGTGTGATGTATTGGTTATGGTGTGTTCCTTTAAAACACTAAGTATGAATTAAGTTTAACAGCCCCGATACTACAACCATTAAACATTCAAACAAATAGTAATGGAGTTAGGGCTTCAAGAGCCTGGACTTGGAAATTGTCTGGGCTGAAATTACATGGCAATTGTCAAGGAAGCCATTATGGATTATGTGTGTGATATATAGAAAATCTAATGCTGATCTACATGAACTCTGAATTCTCCTTCTATGCAACTGCAATGATAAAGAATACTTTTTCTATGAGAGCTCACCTGTCTCCCAAAAATGACACAGTGTATAAAAAGAAAGAGTTAGGGACCCAGATAATCTAAACATTAAAACTACAAATAAAGAGGATTGAGAAAATGCAAAATCCCACAAGAGCAGATTTACTGAAAACATACGAGCACTACTTCAACCCAGTTAGGGGATTTTATGATGTTAAAAGATTGCTTGTATGTTTCCAATAAACATATTCTTCAGGGACGTTGCATGTGCTGGATCTGCTCCCATTTGTTTTCTTTTCTAGCCTCAAAGCATGAATCAAAATGAAATTGATTTCAATTCTAAAATTAAAAGTTTAGATTCATGCAAACGAAGGCAAAACAATAAAGTAAACAAAATAAAGAGTTTATTGTACCACAAATAACAAACAAACAACGTACCTTAGTTACCTGTTAATGGTAACATATGATGTAAAGCAGGGGTTCCCAACCCCGTCCTCAAGTACCCCCTATCAGTCCAAGATTTAGGGGTTACCCTGTTTTGTCTAAAGTGGTTCCTTTTCCTTTTCCTAAAAACACCTTAGACGCAACTGTGTAATCCCTAAATCCTGGACTGTTGGGGGTACTTGAAGACTGGGTTTGGAACCACTGATCTAAAGCATAAAGATTTCAATTAATTTAGCATTTGTGCAACCATCTTACCTTCCCCATCATGGCAAATACATCTGTTTCGTCCAGGAGTCCTTCCTCTAAGTACTTCAGTGCCTTTTTAGCCAAAGCCTCTCTCCCACTGGTCATATCAAGCCATGCCTTCAAAACCAGTCCCTGAAAAGAGAGTTTCTTATTGAATGTCCTCTCATATAAAAACCCCTAAACTGCATTATTTTGTAGATGTTAAATGGTTTTGGTGGTATTGTCAACAAATATGCAGTTCTAATGCATTATTATTATTATTATTATTATTATGATATTTATAGAGCGCTGTCAAATTCCGCAGCGCTTTACAATGGGTGGACGAACAGACATGTAGTTGTAACCAGACAAGTTGGACACACAGGAATAGAGGGGTTGAGGGCCCTGCTCAATGAGCTTACATGCTAGAGGGAGTGGGGTAAAATGACACAAAAAGGTAAGGATAGTATTAGACTAGTGACAGTTGCATCCTCACATAAAAAGGACAGCTCATTGAAGTGGTCTGGGTGCATATTCCCAGATCTCTTAACCCTGCAAAGTTAATTATTGCAGTTTTTAAGAAACTGCAATAATTACCTGTCAGGGTTATCTCCACCTCTAGTGGCTGTCAACCAGACAGCCACTAGAGGGACTTCCGGGCTGTTAGGCAACTTTTGGTCGCCTGACTTTGGATGTCCTTAATGCTATGCAAGGGGACATCTTGCGTCACCCCAAACCCCATGGGAAAGCATTATGCAAGGCTTTCCTATGGGGAAATACTTAATGCGAGCGCGGTCATTGCCGCGCATGTGCGTTAGGTCTCCTCCGCAGGCTGATGTTGGCAAGGGAGGAGTGAAAATGAGCCTAAGCAAGCGCCGAGGGACATCGTTGCTGAACCCAGGTAAATGACAGAAGTTTTTTTTGTTTTTTTTAACCCCTATTGCACCATAGGGATAGGGGGAGGGCGCGAGAGAGGGAAGGCTATAGTGCCAGGAAAATAAGTTTGGTTTTCCTGGCTCTATAGTTTCCCTTTAAGCTTTTCAAAAACAAACATCTAGAAGTAATATATGTTGAGAACTGCATCACGAAACTATGTGTTTTCAGTATCTGATTCAAAAATATAAAAGACTGAAGTAAACACGATTAAAGGACCACTATAGTGCCAGGAAAACATACTCGTTTTCCTGGCACTATAGTGCCCTGAGGGTGCCCCCACCCTCAGGGTCCCCCTCCCGCCCGGATCTGGAAAGGGGAAAAGGGGTAAAACTTCTCTCCTTCTCTCCTCCTCCTGGGCTGAATGCGCGCGCATTCGGCCGGTCACACAGGAAAGCATTCATAATGCTTTCCTATGGACGCTGGCGTGCTCTCACTGTGAAAATCACAGTGAGAAGCACGCAAGCGCCTCTAGTGGCTGTCAATGAGACAGCCACTAGAGGATTAGGGTGAAAGCATAACCCATTAATAAACATAGCAGTTTCTCTGAAACTGCTATGTTTATGAAAAAATGGGTTAACCCTAGAAGGACCTGGCACCCAGACCACTTCATTAAGCTGAAGTGGTCTGGGTGCCTAGAGTGGTCCTTTAAAAAAACATACAAATGCATGGGGGTTTAAACTCTATTTATACACAGTTTTAAGAAAGACATTACTTTTTAGCAATTTATTTTTGTACAATCCTCTTTACAAAGTATAACTTGTAGTCTCTGCAGCCTCAACAAATCGCATTTGAATTTCAGTTTACCTTTTTTTCTAGTGTCATAGTATACTTGTTAAAGGAACACTATAGTCACCAAAACAACTTTAGCTTAATGAAGCAGCTTTGGCGTATAGATCATGCCTCTGAAGTCTCCCTACTCAATTCGCTGCCATTTAGGAGTTAAATCACTTTTGTTTCTGTCCATGCAGCCCTAGCCACACTTTCTAGGCTGTTACTGACACAGTTTGCATAAGAAACAATTGTTTCATTTTCAATCACATCTTAACTAACTCCAAATGCTTTAATCTCCTGCTCTGTAAATGGAAGTTTAATCACGCACACGGGAGACTTATGCAAGGTCTAGCGACCTATTAACAGAGCAAGAAATAAGAAAATCTAAGTTAAATAGACTGCAATAAAGGAAGTTTAAACATTAGCTGACTCTTTACTGGAAATGTTTAGAAAGTCTGTGTAGGTCATAGCATTGAGGTGTGACTATGGTGCATAAACAAAGTGATTTGAACTTCTAAATGGCAGAGAATTGAGCAGTGAGAAGGTGGGGGTATAATCTATACACCAAAAATGCCTAATTAAACTAAGGTTCTTTTGAGTACTACAATGTCCCTTTATACCCAGTTAAGAATCATTCAGTTAAATGGCAGGTTTATCTAAACAGATAACGGCTCCTAAAGCAACAAATATACCATCCATCTGACATATTACACATTAAATTGCTTTGGGAGGTCTAACTTACCTCCTCTCCAGAATACTAGCCCAGTCATGCTTGGAAGTTCATGAGTGTTACTCAAGTTCCAGCCCTGCCAAGCTCCTGTCCCCCCCTTAAATATGGTTGCCCTGCTTGGGAACACTTCCTGCCAGCCTCTTTCCATGTCAATCCCCTGTCACGATGTCAATACACTGACTTAATTGACATTGATCACTCCATTCCTATACAGTGGGACCTCGGTTTACAAACGCCTTGGTTAACATAATTTTCAGTTTACAAATGAAAATCCATTGAAAATAATGCCTCGGTTTACAATTTTTTTTCGCAATACAAAGCAAGTTTCCCCAGGATGCATTGCACCTGGGAGGTTTATAGCACCGCCCCCTGCATGCTGGAGCCTGTGGGTTACATGTGGCGTCGAGTCTGGAGGTGCTGGAGCGGCTTTTGCATCGAGTTTTAGAGCCATTATAGAAATAGTTTGCAGTTGTTTTGGGACTTTTTTGGAGCATTTCTCAAGCTGTTGAAAGGTAGGGAGCTGAACTTCGTCGTCTGCATGCCTTTTACTGTGTGTTCTGCATTGTGGGTTTGTTTCCATGCCAGCTCATTTTGACTTTTTTCTGACCTCCAGAACGGATTAATTGGTTTTCAATCAGTTCCTATGGAAAACCGCGTTTCGGTTTACAAATTTTTCGCAGTAAAAAACATCCCAGAGAACGCATTAAATTTGTAAACTGAGGTCCCACTGTATGCCGTTCCTTACTTATTACTCAAGAGTCTTATAACATTTGGTATATTTCAGAATCAGACAGATCAATTTTTATAGTACTTAACTTACTTCTCTGCTGCCATTTGATATTTTTATCATCCTGTCAACATATTCACGAGCTTTGTCATGGCGCCCGACGTGCCAGAGAAACAATCCTGCATTGTATAATGCTCGATGTCCTGCCACTTTTCTATGCTCCTTCATTTTTATATCCAAATCTTGAGAAGCTTCTCGGTCTAAGAGTATAAACAGTTTATTAATTAGTAATATGTTTATTCATTCGAAGTACAAATACACTGAATGCACCACCAGCACTTATTCAGTTTAGGTAGGTTATAATGCAAGAAACATTCTGCACTGTGTTGCTTTTTCCCCCTGTCTGTACAAGTAAATGAATGGCATCTGCATGCACAGTGTTGGTACAAACCATGCATGTCCAAGGTATTTTTAACAGCCTCTCATAGTGGTCAATAATACAGTTGCAAGATGGCTTCAAATCAGCTTGCACAGTGATTTCACCAATGTGCCTTTTCAAGAACAGTGCAGTACGCTGATTTACATATTCCAGAACCTTCTGCTGGCCAGAAGCTTATGGGATGTCCACAGCACTTCATTTGTGAACATTGGGAGTGTTAAGATTATTTGAGGATTATTGTGAGCCACTTAATGGTTCCTGGAGGAGTTGGACACGTTTGATAAACAAAATAAACTCAGAGGTCAACAACTCATCTCCATTTTGTTTTCTTACCATACTTAACCACAATTCATTAAAAAGTCTGTAGTTTCCCTTTAATAAAACTCTCTTAGTGGATATACAAGACAAGTGCAGTGATTGAACAATGAAAAACTAGGCCCTAACCATGGCATTTTTTTTAATGTGGAGAATAGGAGTATGCCCATCTGCTCACTCTTATGAACTATATTGCCCCAAGGGAAAGGTTCTGCCTGGATATTTATAGTTACAGCTTTTAAGCTATAATTTTCTTGTGGTGACAAATAATGACACTTTAAACAGTGAGGAATTTCATTTATTACTCTTTAGTTAGTATGCAATGATTTACAGATTAGAATAATGTGTTCATCATTAATTTTATGTTGCAGTGTTGATCACCTTATATTAAGTGTGACAGTTAATGTCCTGCCTATTGGTTCACAGTATGACAGCATTGTTCCCAGTTCAGTGAATCTTGGGTGAGGCAATAATGAATGCAATGATTTAGTAGGGTCTGCACCACGCTCAGATGATGATCTTGCCATGAGCATGCACTGTACACACTAAAAGATTTTTTACTTGACAGCAAAAGGACATGGTGCCTGTATAGAAAAACTCCAGATTTTTAATTTTCATCCCCTGTGCCATAAAGGTGGAAAGTTTAATAATATACAAGGTGAGTCAAAGAGTTTCCAAGCCCACACAGTACCCATATTAATGGCTAATTGTTAAGGTCCACAATACACAGATTTCTGGGTGGTTTAAAACACATAAAAATACTAGCATCTACAAGTTCAGACATATCATATATAAAAATATATGGAATAATGCTACATAGAAGTCAGAGGATTGCATGTGATGCCTTCCATTTTCTATGTTGTCCTATGTGCTCCTGTACATTTTTGTAAGCTGAAACTAATGGATCCCTCTGCTAACATAGGGTTATGCAGGCATAGGCAGTGTTTATAGTTTTATTGTGGCTGTTTCATTCCTGCAACCCAGAGTTGGTCTGTGGTGCCTGTGTTTACTGAAACCCTGAAAATTGATCATGTACAGATAGGTTGTACTTGCACATCAATATTAAGGCTTAGAATAGTGGCATTTCCTTATTATCAGAGAACGAAGAGGAGGATAATAAGTACTAAAAGGCAGGTATATTTAACACACTCTTTATCATAAAGTTTCAGGAGTCTCAGGGACAGTGCATCAAACTGAACTTTTTAATCTTCCCTACATGTAAAATATTTTATTGTTCAATGTGTGTGGTTTGTTGTTTTGGGAGGTTTTTAACAAAGTTATTTGAAATACAATGAAACACTCATTTACCTACAAGAAGGTATATAACAAGTTCAAGATATAACAAGTTTATAACGCTGCATTATAGCAGGTACAATTCAAACTACAATTACTGATTTGAGAGGGGAAAAAGACAGTAGCCAACTCAGCTAGACACCACTTTGGCTATGTTAACCTCTGGTTTGCAATAAGTTTTACATTTTCTAAAATTCTGTATTTAGTGAATAACAAAAAAAAAGTAAATAATTATATAAATATTGTTGTTTGCAATTTACTGAAATCACACAAGCAATATATACAGGCATCCTATATTCATGAAAAATTCAAAAGTAACTGTTACACTTTAAGAATTAAAAGGATCATCACACCAGGATTAAAGTTCTTTAATGTGACATTGGACAATAATAAAAAGGTGCATTTTGTATATATTAACATCCAGAACATGTGCGTTCTTTAGATCAGAAGGACAAAGATGAGAAAAATCAACCTCCTCACAACACTGGATCCCTTTTCCAGCTGAACAGCCAAAGGCATCAGAGACCTCTAAGTATCCTCTTGAGAGGACTGGTTTGCAGGATGCTGCATACAGGCTTGTAGTTATATTCTCAGCTTTCGTTTTCAAGATGGAACATCATATGAAAGGAACTAACACAGCATTCCATGAAAACCATCTGGAAGACTCTTTATTCTAGAAAGTCCATGACATGCATAGTGCACTCATACAGCTTGCATTGTGAAGACTGTTGAATACACAGACTATTGTGTGGGGATGGGTAGAGTGGTTGTTTTTCTCAAATTTCCTCAAACAGTTGGACAGAAACCTGAAAATTACACAAAGATTACTGTACAATAACCACCACAAAGAGTTATTGTGGTTATAGTACTTAGCATACCTGTTAGAGCTGCAGCATTTCCTTGTGATTGGCACCTTTGTATCTTTTCTCAACGCTTTGAGTAATATGTACACAAAAAAAAAAAAATGGACGGGATGCTGGCTGTGTGCTCACAGGACACCTCAACCATAGCTGAAGACTACTGTTACACATTGGCAAAGAGGACCTTCAAGCATCCTTAAAAAAAAAGCAACCGACATTTGAAACGGCCACTGACCCTGCTACTGAATTTGCAATTAAAAACCTGTAGGCACTTATTGAACTGTAGGAGAGGATGTCAGTAACATCAGACAATTGCAAAGAGTTCCATTTAATATGGGTCTTCGGGGACCAGTACATCTCTATTAGTGTAACATGCTAACACCCTTCTCAAGCTGTCATCCAAAATCTGATGATCTGCTGTAAATAAACTTTAAGAATGGAAAACCTTTTAGGTTAAGTAGCTTATTTGTATACTACTTACCTTTGCCTAAACCCCAAGTTAAAAGAAGCTCTTAAAACACCATAACTACTACAGTGTGATTAGTTGTTATGGTGCAAGGAGTGCCCTGTTCCCCCCAGGGCAAGAAGTGAAACCATTTTAGAACAGTGTTATTTATCTGGAGACTGCCAGATGCTACTCCCTACATGCAAAATTACTATGGAAAGCCAGAAACGCTCTACCTGAGCAAAGCCCAGCAGTGCAGGGTTTAGCTCAGTGGCTGAAAGTTATCAGCTGATGGTTTCAGCCAATGGCTAGCTCCACATTGCACAGCTTATCTCAGGAGTGCTAACAGAATGCTAACAGGAGCATTCAACTCTCTATAGGAAATAATGGAGGCGAGGATGGCACACCATTCTAAAAATGTGTTGACACTTTACAATGAGGGGTACCAGGGTTCTCCAGGCACCATTTCAAGTACAGTGCATTGTAGTGGTTATAGTGTCTGGAGTGCTCCTTTGATGTATTTTAAGTACATCTCAATTTGAGGTCTATGCTTAACATGCAACTGTCTCATTGTCAAATGTACTCTGTTTCATATACAATATTATTTTTGAATTACTGAACCATTTATACTCCTTTAACTTTATTTTGCCTTCCAAGCCCCTATACCACATGTTAATATTTTCAATACACTTAATAAAAAAGAGGAAAAAAAAAAAAAAACACACCTCTGTTTTATTTAATGTGCGACATACTTAATATTAAAAGGAGTTAAAAAACAAAAATACATGCGTGCACTTTTTGTACCGAACTTACCTACCTCCCCCACCCACAACAGGATTAGTGAGTGGCTGATTATTTGACCTCTACAGTAATCCTTTTGTGGGATATTAGGAAGCAGGGAGTAGAACAGATGAACGAATTTCTGGTCAGTTTCTTTAGGATTTAAGGAACTGCTTTAAGACGTTATAGTGGTAAATAGGGGAACCAGCTGCAGTTACAAAAGCATGTGTAAAAAAATTTATTTGTTTATTTAGCAGGCACACAACAAAATTAGAGGAAGCTTATTAAAAAGTGATTTTACGATGAGTTGTTATACAGACCAAAGAGTAGCCTGGAGTTTAAACATTTTCAGTTTACCTGGATGTGAAGCTTTCTTGTGAGCATAAATTAATGCCATATAAGTGCATAGTGATACTTCTGGCTTGTCTTTAATCAACTCCAGTTCACGGATAGACTCCTGCACCTTATCTGTTTTAGGCAAAAAAAAAAAAAAAAAACGTGAAATTCTATTTAACGTTCAAAGAATCATGGTTACATTCAATGTGGAAATAAGGCTATGAGCAATTACCTTCCATTAACATCCCAAAAGCCCGGAAAAACAGAAAGACAGGATCATTTCCATACTCCTTGAGACCTTCATTAGCAGCAAGTTGGACGTGATGAAAGTACTTTTCCTGACTGTAGTAATGGATTAATGCCTGCAAGAGGGTAAACAAATATAAAGTACGCATTTATAGATTCAGTTCTAAAATTACATAAACTTTGCTTCTTTAATCTGTAAAAATGTGAAAGAAATGCTGCCCTTTTATGCTAATATAATTCTGAAATTTTTGAATTCCAAGACCACTGCCAAAGTGGGGGTTGGAAGTGGTTAAATAATGTATATGATTGTTTTGTGGCATCAACATATGCAACACTTTACAATTATAGAATGAGGATATTTATAGTTGAAGAAAGCCTTGCTTAAACTATTTTACAATCTATGAGGTTATGAAGTAAGCGGATATATAGTTCAGAAGTTTATTTATAAAGCAAGATTGTCCTTTTACTACGCAGATTTTTTTTCCCCCCGATAAAGCATATTTCATGATGCCGCCAACATTACATCAAAGTTTAACAAAGGTCGGTCATTAAGGGGATGTAGCAGAATAGTAAGAATAGCCCCTGGTTACGAAACACTAGGGAACAACCCAGGACAGATGGATAGAAGCCTGAAACTGGACACTCTATGGTATACACTTTAACCCCTTAAGGACCAAACTTCTGGAATAAAAGGGAATCATGACATGTCATGTGTCCTTAAGGGGTTAAACACCATAGTCTGTTTTTATGGCTATGGTGGTAGAAGGGTACCGTTCTAATGTGACAGGAGCCCAGAGCCTGTGCCCTCTCACCATATTGCTGCCATCCAAATTTTGAAGAAGAAAAAAAAAACAAAAAAAAAAACTGACATTGCTGATGCAGAAGTGGAGCCGAAATAGATGATACCCTGATTAACTTGCAGGGATTTTCAGACTATATATAGATATATCTACAGCTGTTTTTTTCCCCCCCCCCTTTTAATTTATATATTTAAAAAAAAAAAAAAAAAGTGCATTATTGATTCCCATCCAAATTTTACAGCTTCGTCTATTATTTTTTCCCAGTATTTATTTCCCAAAATTGCCACGTTAATCGATACTGAAGATTTCCCCAATCAATGACATCTCTGTCATATCTACATCGCCATACGTCTCTTATAAAACATTGCCAATATTCAACAAACTCTAAAATAATGGAATACAAAAACCATACTTGCTACTATTTCTAACTCAGACTATTTAAAAAAAAAAAAAAACACACACAACCCACTGATGACACCAATAAATCACAGCTGAGCATTAGTCCTGTATCACAGTTGTTGCAGAACTCCTATGATGCTCTGCAAGCTTAAAAAAGGGTGAAAGAGCATCAAGGGAGTTGGAGTCCAGCAACTGCTAGGGCTCTACTTAAAGGCCACCTCTGCTGTAAATCCCAGCCTAGAATAAACAGATTGTATGAAACTGAGCCTGGAGTGATGGGGAGGCTGAAGCTAGATGGAGGACTACAAATCCCATGATGCAATCTCAGCCTTGGTAGTTGGAAAACATCATGGGAGTTGTAGTTTTTTTTTTTAACATCTGGTTGGGGTGGGGGTAAGGGGATGTTAGTAATCTGAGCAGAACACAGGTACACAGAGCTGTGACTGACCTGGAGCCTGGGGATAGCGGCGTCTCCTGCCATGATACGGCCAGCGCTGCCGAATGCCCGCAGTCACACAATCATTTAAAATCCCACACTCTTCCCGATCGGCAAAATAATTTATACTCCTCCATATACCAGCTGAGCCAAATGATGCCCTGACTCGGGGCAGCAGAGCGCATGCGCGATACAGCGCGCATGCGTGACCCCCCCCGGTGCACGCGCTACGGGCGGCCTTGTGCACGCACGTGCCTGGGCTCTTAAAGGCGTGCGCGTGCGCCAGAGAAGTTTAAAAAAAAAAAAAAAGAAGAAAAAAAAAAAAAGAAATGCGCGCGAAACTGAATTTCCTCACGAAGAGAGATTCTCACTGCTCGATGGTCTGCTTGCTCTCTCAGTGCTTTGATTTTTTTTTTTTTTTGGGGTGCTAAAATGTTAATTTCAGAAGGTTGTGATAGCTGCTTGTTCTCTTGTTTTTTTTTTTTTTTTTTCCTTTTTTGCAGCAGAATTATTACAAGGGTTTCGAAATCCAAGGCTATTTTGAGATGCCATGTGGCAGTTGTGGCAAATTGATATAGTTATGTAATAATAGAATGCAAACCAATATAATCCAGCTGATATATTGGATAAGATTGCTGTCTGATGATAGAAAGGTTAATAGGCAAAAGTGTACGATCGGCAATATAATTCCTAGATTTTACCGTTAACGTGATGTAAAGTCATGATTTTATTAATGACATGAAGGTTAAGTATTATGCATTCGGATAAAAGACCTCTTTAGTGGAGGACTGTTCTCCAGGAAATGGTAAAAGACACTCCATTCGCAACAAAAACCCACACATGACAGTCAAATGCCCTGACATTAGCAACACGCCTACATGAAATTAAACAAAACAGCATGAGTAACTTAGTAGATGACTGAGCGAAACTTCATGGTTCGAAGGTCAGGCATTCGAAAATTGAAAACCAAGTTAACGTCTCAAAAGGAGGAATAGTGAGGTTTAAGTGATCATGAAAATCAAATTCCCACGAGAAGTCGACAAATAAAGGGGTGTCTACCGATAGGAATACCATCCAATCCTGTTTGACCAGCTGGTATTGCTGATCTACAAAGATTGATGGTACGAAAAGCCTTGCCATTCTCAAACAGATGAGCAGGAAAATGTAAATTGATCTTTAGAGGAGCAGATACGGGATCCAATTATCGTCACTTGCACTCATCTTCCAGGCCGAGTCGTATACTGGTCTAGTTCCAGGTGTCAAAGCGTCTGCCAGGATGCAGAGAGTCATTTACGAAACATCCTCGACAGCTTTGGGTCCCCGGAAATTAGCCATGCTATCAGACGAAGCAGTCCTTGCTCGATCAAGTCGTGACTCTCTCCCTCCTGGTTGGTCAGGAGGGAAGGTCTGTCCAGTATGAGACAAAGGAAATCTATCAACATCTGTAATAGATGAGGGAACCAAGATTTAGACCTAAAGAATGAGGTGATAAGAACCAAAGTCTCCTTGACGCATCGGAGATATACCAGAGTCCTGGATATGTGGCTAAATAGGGGAATGCATAGGCCAGTCCTGTAGGAATGCGTCTGTCACCATCACCTCGGGGTTTAGCCTCCTGCTGAAGAACCGAGGGAGTTTGGTGTTCAGCTGAGACACGAAGAGATCGGTGGGGCGAGGTCCCCACCGCTGGGAAATACGGTGGAAAATGAACGGATGTAGATGCCAATCTCCTGAGTCACGAAGGTATAGCGACTTCCAGTCCGCAGCAGACTTTTCCAGGCCTGGAATGTGTTCTGCTATCAACGATATGCTGTGACGGAGGCAGTAATGCCAAAACTCTTAAGCCATATCGGCTAAAATCCTGGATTTGGATACCCCAAGATGATTGATATAACAAACAGCCGACACATTGTCTAACTTGAGGAGAATATAGCAAGATATGCCTTTGGGAGAAAGACTGCAAATGTGAAGGATGCCACCAGTAACTCCAAACAGTTGATGTGAAGAAATGACTCGTCGGTGGACCAGCGCGCCCCAGCCATGTAACTTGGTGTCCGATTCTATGATTAGGTCCGGAGCAGCGCCAAAAATCGGTTGTCCGTTTCACATCTTTTTGTGGGTGAGCCACCACTGTGTCAAGTGAGATACAGGCTTCATAAGAGTGGCCCGATTGCAGATACAAAGCTTTGAGTGTTTGTAGAGCTCGATAATGCATAGGACCTGGGAAGATTTCTTGTATGGAAGACGTTAGGAGCCCTATGATTCTCACTAGTTGTCTAGTTGTCATTGAACATCTGATCTCATTTTTTCCCATTACATCCCTATCCTTAGAAACTGGAGAAAGATCTGATGCTCTTGTGCAATTGGAATTGTCAGGTACAAGTCTCGCAAATCTACCATCCAGTCTGCAGGACAACAGAATGTCCCGGAGGCAGTGGATACCTTCCATCAGAGTCTCTATGACGTGGTTTTCCTCTTATCTCTCCCAACACTTTTCAGTGTCTACTTTTCTAATGATACCTCCTCCCCTCATCCTGTCTCAGTTGGAGTCCCCCAAGGCTTTGTCCTTGGTCCCCTTTTATTTTCTCTTTATACTGCCTCTCTTGGCAAACTTATTACCTCTTTTGGATTCCACTACCACCTGTATGTTGATGACACCCAGATATATCTCTCCTTCCCGGACCTCTCTCCTGCCGTCCTGCAACATGTCACTGCTTGCCTTTCTTCCATGTCCTCCCGCTTTCTGAAACTCAATCTCTCTAAAACTGAACTCCTTGTCTTTCCTCCCCCTAACACTGATCCTCCTCTTTCACTCTCCCTTCAAGTTAGTGGTCCCCACATCAGTCCATCCTTGCAAGCGCGCCGTCTTGATGTCATACTTGATTCAGGCCTCACCTTTGAGCCTCACATCCAGTATGTTGCCAAATCCTGTAGATTCCATTTTAAAAACATAGTCCTGTAACGGCTTACCTTGGTTGGGAGTCTGTAGCGCAGATATATGCTCACCCTTGCAATTAAACACAGGCCAAGGTGGTCAGGTAAGAACTCACCTGGCCTGTGAGTCTGTGCATGGGGGCTGTGCAGGTTAATGCTCCAAGTCACAGTACAGAAAGGACATAAACAGGAGAATAGTCGTGGGTAAGCCAGAGGTCAGTGGGTGCCAGAAATCAGGATACACGAAATAACAATCCAAGGTCAGGAGTCAACAGGAGAACACTGGAACATGAAACAGCAATACTTGGACCAGAGTCAATTAACTGACACTGCCCTCAGGGAGAGGCAGTGTCTTATACCTGGCTAATTGGTGATCAGCCACAGGTGTTCTTAGAATGTTGGAGCAGCTACAGAATAAAGTCCAGCCCCCAAGCAATACTAGAGCTGTATCGTGACTCAGAGGCAAAAAAGCAGGTCCAGGATTGCAAAGTACTCAGGTTCAAGTCCCTCATCGGGCACTTCTGGGGCGACCTCGTCTGGCCGTCTGGATGTCGCAGTGAGAACCGTGACAGTACCCCCCTTCAAGAACGCCCTCCTGGCGTGATTTGGTTGCTTATCATTACCTTCCATAGCAGAAGTACCTTCCTCCTCTGAGAGATCGAATACATCATCTGGCAGGAGGTACGTTCTTCCAGAGGCATCCATGCCATACGTACGGCCTTCTTCCAGATTAGAGGGAAACACAGCACTTAATGTAGCCTTTGCTCTAGTAGTTCTCACCGGGGAGGCATTCGCAGCTTTCAATGCTTTTTCGAATACTTCTAGATCCTGTTTGCATACAACTGTGCCATTTGAGGCATACGTGCAGTCAGGTGGCAGAACTTTTTTGGCAAGGCAGGAAGTGGTGATGGTGCTTGCTTGAGCAGAAGTGTCATCAGGAATAGGTCCAAGAGGTGGAGATTCCACAGGGGTACTGGTTGCAGGTTCTTGAGGGACACTGGTAACATTTACTGTAGTAGTTTGGGTACCCTTTTGTGTCACAGGACGGGGACAGGGCTGGCAGTTTCCAGGCTGTCTTGCCGGGATGACAGGATAAGTCCATATGGTACCAGACAGGTGGACGAGTTGGGCAGAGAGAGATGAAATGCCCTCTTTTCCCACAGTATAGACATAGGCCATGGGCTCTCCTGCAGTCTTTTTCCTTAGGAGGCAATCTAGTTCTGGTAAATTCGATATCCATGGGTTCCTCCATGTCCACTGGAGTTTCACGGCTAGCTTGAGTATAAACAGGGTTACAAGGTGGGTCCCTGAAGGTGGGTTCACGCTGCAACATGATGGGGACTTGGTAGGAGTCCTTTTCTTTAGGTAACCGAGATCTGCAGGTATATGGAGCAGGCTTGGGAGTAGCTTTCCTGGAGGTAATGCACTGAGAGTCCATTGCGGTCATGAATGACTCCCAGCTGTCCAAGACAGTGCTTTTTTTCCTGCAGCTTCTGGTATGCCCACTCCTTAATCCGTCCTGAAAGTAAGTTGGTGGCAGAACGGACCTTGACAAAGTCGCTGTTGTAGGTCTTAGGCTTAAAGGACCACTGTAGGCACCCAGACCACGTCAGCTTAATGAAGTGGTCTGGGTGCCAGGTCGCTCTAGGATTAACCCTTTTTTTTTTATAAACATAGCAGTTTCAGAGAGAGGCAGTGTCTTATACCTGGCTAATTGGTGATCAGCCACAGGTGTGCTGAGAACTTCAGAGAAACTGCTATGTTTATATTGGGATTAATCCAGCCTCCAAAGCCTCTTGTGGCTGTCTCATTGACAGCCGCTAGAGGCGTTTGCGTGCTTCTCACTGTGAAAATCACAGTGAGAAGACGCCAGCATCCATAGGAAAGCATTATGAATGCTTTCCTATGAGACCGGTTGAATGCGCGCGCAGCTCCTGCCGCGCATGTGCATTCAGCCGAAGAAGAGGATCGGAAGAGAAGAGCTCCCCGTTCGGCGCTGGAAAAAAGGTAAGTTTAACCTCTTTCCTCTCTCCAGAGCCCGGCGGGAGGGGGGCACCCTCAGGGCACTATAGTGCCAGGAAAATGAGTATGTTTTCCTGGCACTATAGTGGTCCTTTAAGGGCAAAAAGGAGTTCACAATCCAGTCTGAATGCTGTGTAGAAGGAACGGGAACCATCAAATCTGTCAGGCATCACAACAAATGGTTCTGGATAAGCAGGTTCCGGACCTGGGCGTACTGTGCCTTTAAGAAATAAAACT